TAAAAGCGTTCAACTAAACTACAAATCTTACTCATTACTTCAGGAGATACGTACCCTATTTACTTCAATAAGGTAGCAGCACCTCATCTGCACGAGTCTGTATACTTTAATTTTACTTAGCCCTTCAATGAATGTATTTAACGGACAGTTATTTGGTCAGCAATAATTTGTCTACATTATTATTATTACTATTATGTTTGCTTGAACACTTGTTACAGTCCACAGATATAATCCTCTTATTAGCATAAATGTTAGATAAACTATTCAGTGACCCATTTTCTTTCCTATATACATGCGTTTTCTTAAATCTGCTCATTAATTCGCATTTCTATTTGTATTCGTTTGGAGTGGTTGTGCTTTTGTGATCTGCCATGTACAAGAATCGACAGTACTCAACGCTTCATATTGTCTTTGAAATCTATACGCCGTTGAGAGATCTAATAACGATAATCAGGCCTATTATCTTGAAGAAATTCCGCTACAGTCCGCACAAGAAATTAAGTTATCTCTATTCAACATGACAGGCCAGTGTCACTAGTTATCAACAAAACAGTAAATTTTTAGTTCTTAACTTTCGTATTAGTATCTTGTAAACCATACTTGTCATAATATGAGTTCTTTTTTCAGTGTGAAATTACGGTGAAATGCCACCTTAATGTCGTTTTTTGTTTTATTTCTGTGACCCACACCTTATGGAATCATATAAATGTATCCTTTTATATTCTGGGTATATCTTCAAGTAATTTTTCACTGCTTGGGATTGTGTTAGACAATATATTGTTTACTGTGGTACTTTGATTGCTGAAATCTGGCATAATTTCGATTACAAAGAGAGATACATGGTGGTTAGAAGTGAAATCTAGGGCGCGCGTTTCGTCCTACTCGGGACTCGTCAGCTGGATGCACCTGCATCTGAGTTCGCCCTAGGATTCGAACCCAGCACTGTGCGCCTTAAACGTCATGGCGTTATCCATTGGATACAGAATTCAGATAGCCACTGGCTTGTGCAATGATTTGAATTTTGAGTCAATTTTATTTGACTAATCAATCCTAAACATCAATGGGAAGTTTCAAACAACTAATACAAACTGAATCATTTCCATTGTTTCACGAGTGTATCGGGTCAAACAATTGGATTTCATAAGTGTATTTTGAAATTATTTGGCGTATATTTTTAATTTTGTGAGATTTTAACTAGCAAATGTTTGCCAATGTAAATACTTGCATGTATGTTCTTTGAACCAGTTGTAAACTATGAGAATTTCTACTGCTAATTGTTTGTTTTTTTATTGTTTGTTCGATAACATAATGAAACATTATTTTTATATTTGTTAATAACGTTTAAATATTTGTAAACAGATCATTTCAGTGATCGAATAAATTCTTATCATCAGATCTTTTCGTTTAATTCACTTGAAATAAAATGTAATTTCGTCCTATTGTGAAACTCCTCGGCAGTGCGCATCCACGACCTCGCCCCTTGCGAGATTCGAACCCAGGACCTACTGTGATTTGATGAAAAATGTAACCATCAATCAAATTAAGTTCACTGTCGACAGTCGACTGCTAAATCTATGTTTCGTGAAGAATATTATTTTTAACCAAGTTTTACTGATGTAGTGTTGAAAAAACCATTTGTTTTAACTTTCAACTCTTTACGAGTGTGCATCCATATGCTCATATACGACCAAACATTTTAGGTCTCATAACAAGGGTAATATCTTTGATTCATTGGGTTACAATTTAATTGTTCATATTTTAAACTTCAATTGACTCATTATGTCTCAATGGAATCAATAAATTTAGGTCTCATTTAAAGGCCCCCAAAAATGTAACTCAAGGTTTGTTTCTAGTGAAAACTTGAATACTGTTTACTCGAGTAAAGTATTGACTGAGTACACTACTAGTCGATTTTCATACAATCATCCTTAAAGGTAGCGAATTGGAAAGCATCATTAACCAAATGAGTTATGTTGATAACATATTCATAATTTCTGATGTGAAATTTGATGTCCAGGATGTGCTCAGTTAGGATGAGATGAATTCCAAAATAGATCGATATAATATAATAGCAATTATAATGAGAACATGTATTATGATTCAAGGAGACAAAATGGAAAATCATTTGAAGTAATTCTGCAATTCATGATCAAGAGTACGATAAATAGTGAATGCATCTGCATCATTGTGTGGACGATTCTGAGTCCTATCACTAAACGTAAACTATCTACCTCAAACTAAACATAGCGATTCCAAAGATAATTCTATTCATAAATTCTAGTTAATTGTTTGTTGTTTTTCGAATCAAAGTTTTAATTTCACATAATTTTTGTCCATTAGTTAAAATTGTTTTCTCAAAAAGTTTTTTTTCTTAGTACCAGTAATTCAGGCCGTGAAATGAATACTGAAAATAGGTTTTTTTCTAGAAAAAAATATGACCACACCTTAGTTTGAATTTTTTCCCAATTTACCTACATCCCTCCTTCTCCCCCCCATCCATCTCAATTGTATGTGTACTAATTTTATCTTTTGTGAAAAAAAATTCTTAAAAAGACCTTTTATTTTCCTTGTTCAAATCTCACTTAAGGTCAACTCCTAGTACTTTTTCAGATTTACCTTCAAGAATTGACATTTTCTTACTTTTCTCTTGATTTTTTTCCATTTATATCATCAAACTAATTTTCCAACTTTTTATTTCTCATAAATATTTTTTTTCCATTTTTCAGTACTTTTGTCTTTTACAATATGTACTAACTTCACTTTGTTTTTTTCTCTTCATTTTCATTGATTTAAAGCTGTGCCAATTCGAATCTATAGATATTAATCATAGATATATACATATAACTCGTATTTTCTTTTTACGTCGTTTTGATTACTTACTTACTTACGCCTGTTACTCCTCGTGGAGGAGCATAGGCCGCTCACCAGCATTCTCCTTCCAACCATGTCCTTGGCAATCCTTTCCAGTTGTTATTCATCCTTTTCATATCTGCATCTATTTCCCGATATAATATGTTCTTTGACCTTCCACTTTTCCACTTTCCTTCAGGATTCCAAGTTACGGCTTGCCTCATGATGGAGTTTGGTCGTTTTAATAGTCTCATTTAATTATTTTCATAACAAATTGACAATACTTATAAAGAACTAATGAAAACCAGAGTAATTAAACATCCGGTCAAATAAGACATGATATCAGTCCACGAAATCATAAACTGTTAGATTGAGTTGTGTTATTGTATTCAAACTACCGGGCTAGGGTACGCGAAAGTATGGTAAACAATAGGTGAAGACGTTGAGTGACATGGCTCAGAAGCTTTTCATTACGGGAGTAGATCCATTCACTTTTTGTCATAACTTAAATCTTATACTTCTTACTCGATGAAGTCATCACTTATTATTAAATCCTATTGTCTATATACAATTTTTTCTACTATCACTGATAATGGTACTACTTTTACTATTACATTATATAATTTGATCTCAATGCTCTGATATGGCATAGTAACTTGAACTGATGCATATATACGCCCAGTTTTACTGACTGACTGACTAATCGAATTCAACATTTTCTTTTGTCATGATTTGTGAAATTCATTTAAAGACATTCCCATTTACTCCCTATCGATTTCCTTTCATTTTCTTCAAATGATTAAGATCTATTGTTTAAGTTTCCATTTTTGTGAAAAATTACTATGATCACTATGACATGTTAATTCGATCACATTTATATCCATGTATTGTAGTTTTGTCCTTGTAGAACTATCATATTTTATCAAGATCAAATGAATTCTATGTGTGTGTGTGAATTAACTAGTCTATGAATGATAATTAGTGTTAAAAACAAATTCCAACTAATATTTATATCCAAAGTTCAATCATTAAAACAAAATATTTTGTAACATGTTGTTTATTGAATTTTGTATAAAAAGTATAAGTTGTCAATGAGTAACAAAAATGACAATCTTGATTCTGTTTGTGCTAATGAATTCAAAAAGTTCAATATAGAATTTCACTGATATTTGTACATGGATATGTCGTTAATTTTTGTTCTAACGATCTGATAGATATGTTGAATTCTTCTTCAAACTCACACCAATCAAATGTTTTTTTTTCTCATATAAATGATATGTTAAAGGTTGTGCAAGAGTTTAAGATCTCTCATAAAAGCTGGTTTATATTAGAAAATGGAAGTAAGCGACGACATTGGAATCGAAAAATTAATAGTAGTAATAATTTCAAGAATATATTTGGCAGGGTTTAAATAAGCACTGGCTATTGTAATTCAATATCCCACAGAATAAATTGGTGCTGTATACTCAATGAGTACTGATCTTTCACCCTACTGAGTATCTGAGAACCGGGTTGGAAATACATCCTCATCGTATCCGCGGTGATTATTCTAATCTCTACTCATAAACAATTTTAGGATGATAAAGTACATCAGTTAAACCATTCTTATATTCTTATATTTACAAGCTCAGTTAGTTTTTCAGATCAACTCCGTCTTCTCATTGTTCTATCGAAATTTATAAAAGGGACTAATTGCTTTAAACTCAGTTGGTTATTAATTGTTTTCTTCAATCTATTTGGTTGCTGTACAACTTGGTTCTCGTTAGTAATTTATCAGTTTGATTATCTTATTTATTCTAGTAGTCTTACCATTAAGTTAAAACGTTATAATAACTGTAATCCGGTATATAATAACAATAATCGACAGCAGTCTATCTGAGGTGACATATGTCTTTGTGTAAATCTTAACCTCGAAAAATTATCGAATTGAGCATATTCCAAGTAAACGAAATATGACGATTGAGACATAAAATTAGCAGTTAAGTATAGTCTGTTTCTTCTTGATGTTGATAAATATTTTTTCCCTGTTTCGTCTACTTAATCGGTTTTAATTTATTGTTAGTAGTTTTTCGACAACTCCTATCTGATACATTTCACTTTTAATCAATGATGACTTTGTAATTTTATCCTTCTATTTCTATCCATTACAGAGTTTGAAAGGTATACAATATAACTGTATGATTGGTCTAAATATGGATCCGACAGATTTCTATTCACCTGTAGAAATGTATACAACCGTTTTAAATATAACAATCGGCATTGAACACGCAACGCATGCAAAGAGGCGCAACAGTAATAAATGTCATGAAAAATATTACAGTACAAGTCCATGTCATTTTATTTCATACTATCGCAGTGAATTAATTATAACTATTCAAAGCAAATCACATTTTTTGAAGTGTACTGGAAAGCAACTGGTTAATTCAGCCATCTCACAGGATGAAAACGAATTAATTCATAGTGAACAAAGCCAACAAGTGAACAATGGGTGTTCCTATAGAACATCTGCTTATTTCAGTTGGTAAGCGTAAATGCGTTTTAATTTAATTAATTTCAAAAGAATTGGTGTAAGCTTAATTTACGTTACCTGTTATGACATTTGAGGGTAGACGAATAAAAAACCAATAAGCAATTGATGGTAAACCGTTTCATCTTAATTGGGGGAATACTAAGCATTTTCCGTCTGCGACTCCGTAACTCAACTGAAAACTTTCCGGTTCTATTTCGATCATGATATAACCAACCTTCATTATTATAAATTTTAATACATTTTTAGAGTGTTCAGTAAAGTAAAAATAGGGCTGTATTGCTCATCCTCTACCGTAATACTTAATATATATATATATATATATATATATATATATATATATATATATATATATATATATATATATATATATTAGGTCAGCTCTCACGATCTGTTCGTTGTATAGTGTATGTGCTAGTTATACTTACTTACGCCTGTTACTCCTCTTGAAGGAGCATAGGCCCCTCAACAGCAATCGCCACCCAACCCTGTCCTGGGCAATCCTTTCCAGCTCTTTCCAGTTGTTATTCATCACTTCCATATCTGTTTTCATTTCCCGACGCAATGTGTTGTTTGGCCTTCCACTTTTTCGCTTCCCTTCAGGATTCCAAGTTAGGGCTTGCCTCGTGATGCAGTTTGACGATTTGCGTTATGTATGTCCTATCCATTTCCATCGTCTTTTCCTAATTTCCTCTTCAACTGGAAGCTGATTTGTTCTCTCCCACAAAAGGCTATTGCTGATAGTATCCGGTCAATGGATGTTTAGTATCTTGCGTAGACAACTATTTATGAATGCTTGTACCTTCTTGATGATGGTTGTTGTAGTTCTCCAAGTTTCAGCTCGATACAGTAGAACTGCTTTGACATTCGTATTGAAGATTCTCACTTTGATATTGGTTGAAAAATGTTTTGAGTGCCATATGTTCTCCAACTGTAGGAATGCTGTCCTTGCTTTGCCGATCCTCGCCTTTATGTCTTCATCTGAACCTCCTTGATCATCGATTATGCTTCCCAGGTATGTGAAGGATTCTAAATCTTCCAGAGTTTCACCATCAAAAGTGATTGGATTGCTGTTCTCCGTGTTGTATTTGAGGACCTTGGTTTTCTCCTTGTGTATGCTGAGACCTACTGATGCAGAGACTGCTGCCACACTGGCTGTCTTTATCTGCATCTCTTCATGTGTATGCGATAGGAGGGCTAGGTCATCTGCGGAGTCCAAATCGTCTAATTGATTCTGAGCTGTCCATTGTATTACGTGTTTTCCTTCAGATGTCGAGGTCCTCATAATCCAGTCGACCACCAGAAGAAAGAGGAAGGGAGAGAGTAGACAGCCTTGTCTGAATCCAGTCCTTATTTGGAATGCATCTGTCAGCTATCCTCCATCCACGACTTTGCATTGTAGTCCGTCGTATGAGTTCCGGATAATATTGACAATCTTCTCAGGAACTCCGTAGTGTCGAAGAAGTTTCCATAACGTCCTCTTGTCTACACTGTCAAATGCCTTTTCATAATCAATGAAGTTGATGTGCAGTGACGAGTTCCACTCAACTGGTTGTTCGACGATGGTGTGCTAGTTATGGTACCGTAATAATCTTATATTTTTGCTCTCATACATGGATTTTTATGTATCGGCGTCTCGTCTTCCGGAATATATATAAGGATGAAAAGGTGAACGGAGTGGACGTTTATCACCTGATAAAATAACATTTGTCAGTAATTCTCAAGATTTAAAATGTCTGCCTACAATCATATTCGTAGTGACATCAAAAGATTCATCATATACCTTACTAACTACCTTCAGGACTCTTTTCAGCGATAACATCTTTCCTTCAAAACCCAGGAAAGAATGATAAGGAAAAATAATTAATAATAGGTAACGCACAAAAATGTACACATCATAAAATTAAATATTGAGTAATACCAAAAGCTTATAGCAAGTCAGACGGAAAACATTCTTCGGCATTAATTTTATATACATATATATTTACAGAGAGGATGACAAGGTAGTTTGTGTTGAATTCTATCTGTATTTAAAAAAGTAGAGAATACTTCACTACAAAATTACATGAATGTCGATTGAATGAATTATTTCATGGGATGAACTTCAACAATGTCATCGTGCATCAGTTACATGTGTTCACAAGTATTTATGCATGTGTTCTGAGTTTTACTCATAAATTTCCCTAATATATTGATTAGGTAAATTGATCATTGAAAGATGTAATAAGAATTAGTGTTTACAGATGAAACCAAGACCAAATGTCGACAAGGGAATTTTCCAAAATTGCGTCATAAAGGGTGCAATAAAAGCTAGTCAATTTTTGAATAGTTTTTATTACGATGTACTCGGTTTTGTGTCATATGATGTCAATTATTTAGTCATTTAAGTTAATAGAAATCAACTGCTTTTGAACATTAACTGGAAACATCACCCTCATAATTGTTATGGTTTGGTTTTGAGAATACTTTGAACAAACTTAAACTGATGCAATATAGTAAGGAATGACAAATAATGTATTCTGACCTAAAGAGTGGATTGAAGTTCCTTACATCTTTTGAAATATACAAAGCACAAATCATTTTAATAATGGTAAAGTAGTTTATTCGTAACTGAATAAGTTCTGTTACTAGGATATACAGATAGATTTTCCATAAAATCCGTTATAGCTTGAATAATGGTCCCTACAAAATTGTGTAAATAAACGAAGGGACCAAGGGATCCTGAGAAACTCAAATCAACAGTTAAAATAATGGGAAGTAGTTTATTGAAAGCGAAATGGATGATACATACACTCTATTTTTTGTTTGGAGAGATTAAGTTTAAATCGCTTGGCATAAGTAACCATGGTACCCTGTATGTATAATTGTCATCTTGACAAAGATCCAGAACTGTCGACCTTTTTTAAAGGAAGATTGAGTTCCTGGCATATAACCATGGGAATATATTCATAAGGTTTGATAAAAGCATTATTCTTGATCAATACTTTTTCATATGCATTTGTTTTATAAATAAAATTGGATCTGACGTAGAGAGAACATCCATTTATTCCAATTTCCGAACCCTTTACAATTGTACTCTCAAACCAAACTTTCTGAGGAAGTTCCAAGTCCTTTGCCCTTTGGTCATTCTGTGGATCCCTTATTTTGAACACAGGATGAATAGCAAATAGGTTTCTTTCCAAGAGTTAGGTTATTGGTTTTTACATTTATTTGTCTCCCATTTTTCACAACCATCTTCGTTACCATTAACAGTTAGAGGATCTTTAACGCTTTCCAGACAGAGAGTTCTTACTTTACTTAAAAGTATCTTGAATGATTTTAAGTTATGCTAATGTTTGTTTGAAAGAACTATGTTTAAAATTGAGTCGAAAAATGAAGTTAGAGATCTCATCATTTGTTTTAGTAGTTTTAGTAACAATAGAAGGAGATTAAAAACGAAAATTAGTCTGTATCAATAATTGACTATAAAGTAAGAAATGTTGGAGACTGAGTTCTAACTTATTAGTCTTAAAGCTAATGTTTGCTGACCATGAAATTTAAAGGTCCTGAATATGAACCAGTATGGAACTGATCGTAGGAGTGCACTACTACACTCCATCGACTCTAAAGCAGCTGACTTAAACTGAAACTCTCCCTCTCTGTTGTCTTGTGTTAATATTTTCGAGTTTATACTTTAATAACTAAATTTGTTTCAATAGTTGAAATCATGAGTTAATTGAGGCTAGACCATGATGGAAAACCTGGAAGCATTGGATGACCATTTCATCCTATTGTGGGACTCCTCAGCAGTGTTCATCCATGACCCCGCCTCGAGGGATTCCAGGTTTTCCATGGTGGTCTAGCTCCAACTGACCCATGATGTCAACTATTGAAATTACTACAAACTCCACAAAACCCCTTCAAATAAATATAAATTAACGTACTCGAAAAAAATCCTATTTTAATTTTCCCATCAGGTTTAGACATCATGTGATTCCTCTCTCTTTGGTTGATGAAACTTGTGCATCTATTAATGATGATAATGATCTCAATACAAGAAAGTGGGATATGTTTATTATCTGGCAAGGTCAACTAAATACACCACATAATGATGATCAAATAAATTTTGAACAGTTAGATATTTCTTTTGATCATACAAACAAGTCTGTATCTATGGCATCTCTCCATATGAATCCTAATACCTCACAAATAGATGAAGGTGATACTTCCGTTGTTGCTTATGAGGATAATGAAGATGGTGACAACACTGAAAATGATATTACACAAATGAATGATAAATTTTCACCAGTTTCAACTATTTCAAATCTCCTACACATTGACGATAATAAATATTATGAAGATTCGGCTTATCAAACATTGTATGCTGATGATAATATCGATCATATAAAATGGGATACACAATCTATTATTGATTCTCATGAAACATTTGGTATTTTATCAGAGGTATCTTCTATGCAGATAAAACAAATTCCAATTGATCATGATTCTGACAATACGGATAATAGTGTTGTCTGTATGAAAACTAATTTACCAAGAACTGATGAATATGACGATGTTATTAATAATAATAATAATAGTAATATTAATGATAATAATAATGAGGAATTGTCCATCCTATCAGAAGAACCTGAACTCCACCATAATGTTGATTGTTGTAACTCATCTCAGTCTGATTACAATGTATTGGATTCAATAAGAAGTTCCCTATACAATATAAATGATACTAATAATAATATTAATCACATTAATAATAATAGTAACAATACAGACGAAATGGATTCAAGAGATAATCACATGGTGGAATGTAATAATCATCATGACTTAATGAATAATGAAAAGTCATCATTTATACAATTTAATTTCATTAATTCATCTCTTACTCAATTGGAATATAAATTAAGTCGTATTTCAGTGGAACTTGAAGAAATGGAAACAAACGAACACCTTAGTGATGAATATATCAAAGAAATTGACAATATTTTTCAATTATTACTTTTGATTAAAAAAGATACTTCACAAATTGATTACATAATATCAAGTTGGAATATGGATAGATGTTTATCAGAGAGTGGTAATTATGTAACTCCTAGTACTATAACTATTTTATATAATGAGTATACTGATCTATCACAGTTAACTGGAAAAGTAGAACCTACGTTAGAAATAAGTCCAGGTAATTTGATTTGTATTTATTTTACAAGCATAGTTTCATTGAAGGATGTATACAGTTTTTGTTTTAGTTTTCGTTGACGGTAACACAGATTTGTAGCTCAGGAGAATAATTTTATGAAGTTGAATTCTTTGAACTAGATGATTCTTTTCGACACTATCATTCACTCAAGCTCTGCAATCGTATTTATCGTTAATTTATAAATAAAAGAGCAGAACGATTACATCATATTGTGTTAAAGAAATTCGTTCAACGATCGATAATTTGAGTAAATATGATAAGCTAAAATTAAATGTGAAAGATAATTGCCTGCTTGACGAGTATGAGAAGAGTGAAGAATAAATTAAAAACTTCGAGGTAGTAATAACAAATAATTGATATTAAAGTGATTAAAAACAATAGAATGATGTATCAGCAATCAAATTATGACACTCTAGTCTATAAACCTGACAAAACAACCTTAGTCAACACTGGTTTAATGCTTTTAGATCTGACAGACAGGAAACATTTTGAAACATGCACTTGAAAATTTTAGTGAGTTTATTATGTTCCTATTGAATTCTGCTCAATGCCCTTACTTTGAAACATACTTACCTTGTATCATATCTGAAACTACATACATTAGATTATTTTTGTCAAGAAAATGTAATCAGAATGTGATTAGTAGAATATCCGTGAAATACTACACCCTGTTGTTGTTATAAAATTAATCATTTATTAATTCAATCTCCTGTAACATCCATCAGTAATATGATTCTTTCTTCATGCTTGAATTCTTTCATTTCATTCGGATTTTAAATCCTCTACTCATCACTTAACACGTAAAGCTGAAGATAAATAAAAGATTTGTTCATAGATATAGTCTTTAGTGTTAATTCCAATTAAAAGAATCATGCAGATACTAAAGTACTGTTGTAATTATAAAAAACCTACACTTCCAGTTTGTTCATACAGTGATAAAAATTTCTTTTTTTGTAGTTATATAAAGTACAATATAACGTTAGTAATCATGGGATTTTCGACATCTGTGTTAGAATATGTTTTAATGGTTTTATTTGACTTACAGGATCTAGTACACTGGATAGAAAATTAGCAAATTATTTACATAATACATGATTAGTGCTTGTATTTTATGTAGGTGAATAAGCCCACTTAAATTTGATGAATGAAGTTCAGTTTGTTTAAGGAAGTGGTCTGGGTACTGAGAAATGAGAAGTTCACCCGTGAATCATGTACATATTCTAAATTTGTGGATGCATATTCAATACAGAAATAAATTAGACGGAATTCGTAGTTTAAATTAAATTGAATTAGGTTAAAAGCAATATAAATTAATAAAATTTTGTAACTAAATGTAAGATAAAATATTTTCAAAGTTAGATAATACAAATCATTTTATACATCACTGGTTGATAAGATAATCAGTGCCAGACCAACAACAATGATCGAGAGCACTGTGTTGTCAAGCCGTCACTCGTTAGCATTGTAGGACACAATTGTATATCTATCTAAGTTGTTACTCCTCATGTCAGTACATCGGGCGACATAAATTACCAAATTGTGAAATGAATGGAGAGAATTGTTTATATCCATCGCACTTTATGATAAAATCTTAGAGATATAACTGAAAAATTACATACAAGATCATAGAATGAAAGTATCGGGTGAGATGGAATTGAATATCTTTTGAGTAAGATAAGGATTAAAGCAATTCGAAGATAATTTGGCGTTTTCTGTTCATCACTGAAGTTCTAGTTTACCTTTAACAATAAACATATCGAATCAAGAAATATCATAATTACATTTTTTATAATCAAATTGTGCTATATTCACGCTGACCTGTGATCTATCGTTTACATTTGAAAGTTTACTTTTATGTACATTGGCTTCGTTCTAGCTTCTTTTTGTCACCAACAGTACCGTACAACATATTAGATTTGTATCGAGAAAATCCCCATTACATTAAAGCACACATAAATATATATAACAGGTATATTAATTTCAATAAATGCCTACCAGTGTATGTACAGTTGATAGTTTAAATTAATTGTCCAAAAAACTAACATTTCGAATTAGTAATAATTGGTTGCATGAAATAACAAGATGAAATCAACCATATGAAATGTGTTCGATCAGAATTCATGTAATGCAAGAAACTATGAATTCTTATTTTGACTGACAACTCGATTCTAGTATTACAGTGCATGCCGGTTACATCAGGGTTTACAAACGCTAACAAACAATCTTCAAGTACGTGTTATGTTTTCTTAATGATAAATACTCCCCTTATACATTTTCGTGGTTTTTGTTCTACTACACTATCAGTAAGCCCAGTAACTCAATTGTTACATTTATCAAGTGATTAATAAACTTTACAAATCCTCACGTTTCGTAACCACTAATCAGAACACCAGAAAGCTGATAAGTGATGATACCATTTTGTGTCTCATACTGAACTCACTATTATGTAAGTACAATACGATACTACAGTTCAACACAACTTTAAATCATTATGACCTACTATACTTGTCTTTTCTGTATCGAGCTGTGCTGCAATAGACATGTTCAATACATACAGTTGCACTTAACTCCAACCGTTAAAAGATAACTTGCAATTAGGGCTATGTAGAAATATAACTGTTTGATAGATACTCATTTATAAACATTCAAAATAGTTCACTAGAGAGTACTTACCCAAGGTTTCCTTCTTGCCACATCTTAACAATGAGATTAAGATCACTATGTCAGTCACCAGTTGTAAGTGGTTGTGGCTGTTCTGTTGGGTAAGTCTGTTAACATAGACAATTGGACGGGTGGCAATATTTGAACTTTGTAGCATTCAATATGTTGTCCCTTCTCTAGTAGTTATTAACTTTCTTTAAACCTTATTTTGTGCTCAGAAGAGAATTATCAGGGTCATATTGCTACACGTTTATCAACATTGAAATGTTTACGTGTTGACTTGATGAAACGCTGTGATAGGTTGGTTGAACGCCTAGAGAAGCAAACAAGCAATTCTGCAGTAAATATAAATGAAGAACTTGATTTTATCAGTCAGAATTTAGTTTCACTTGCTCATAAACTTGACGATCCTGACAATAATGACTCATCAAATGATACTGGCCCGTCAACAATTGCCAATAAACTAGAGAAACGGACTACCGATTTACAAGAAATTCAAAAAGAATTTGCATATATTGAAGAGAATTTACAAAGGTTAAAGTGTACACCAGCAACGGATTCACTATCTTGCAAATCTATTGCCAAACTTGATTGTATTGAAAGTGAACTAAATGACATGCAAATTAATTTACGAAACCAGATAATATATTTGAATAATTTTCACGAACAATACAGTAATTTAACAACTGCTCTTCAAGAAGAATTCAGTTGGATGAAACAACAAGAGAATGACGTAAATCTAAATATACAGTCAGAATCAAATGGTTTACAAGCGAATAATAATTATGATAATAATACTGGCCATCTAGAACAAGATATCACTGTTTTATACAATCTTATTGTCAAATTATCACAATATTATCACCATAAACTTTTACCAATGTTAGAAAATTATGATAAATTAATGAGCGATGGTGTTAGACCACCAGGAATAATTACATCCATATACAATGCTGAAGATAATGTATACCTATCAGTGAATATTCTTAATTTATGGGACAGAATAACTAAAGAGTTAATGACAAGAAAATTCCATGAATTAGTGAGTTTATTTTTCATTGATAATCATAATGATCCATATTCGTAAAGGTAATTTTTAAATAACGAACTTGTGGGAGCTAGGGAATCTATCGAGAACCAATGACGAATTGGACAATATGTTTTATCCTAAAACTTGGTCTTGGGTTATGTCCCGTGTACTGGACAGCGAGTACATACTGCTCCCTTGATTTTTTCTGTATGACATTAGTTCATAATGAAAATTACCTTTGAAATATACCTTCCAAATACAAGCTAGATCATAACGATTAAAATCAGAAGTGTAAATCATTGGATTTCAACTCAGGGGTCTAAATATCAAGAGCTTGTTGCAAGACCTAAGCATTCCTTAGGTCGATATTCGGTGAGGTCTTAGATGCGTACTAGGAAAAAACACATGCCTAGTGTTTTCTTTGGTACATCGCCTTGGTGTAATTCGTAAAAATATTATCCATGAATGAATATGTGTTGTTTATGTTAACGGCTTAACATTGTCCTTTATCGCTAATATCTCCACCCATTCATTTGATGTTTATTTCCATGATTTTATAATTTGAAGTTCCTTGTCTGATACTTTATTTCCCCTCTTTTGTTGATTAATCTATCCAATGTTATGTAGATGTAAAGTAGGCTTACTTGAACCTGTATATATTTGTACAGAAGACGACCTACCTATCTTTATTTAACATTCTGATTAAGCTAATTCCTCTTGACACATAGATTTTGTAGAAACACTGAGTTCACAGTCCATTTGCTTTGATTGATGGTTCTATTTTTTAAACTGACAGTCCCCGTAAAACATAAAATATTAGAACAAAGCGACTACCTATCCACATCAAATGTACATGGAACTTGGTATCTTTCCTAAAATTCTTAGTATTATTACATATGAGAGGATCAATACACGCAGCACATGAAAACATGATAATAAATTAATATCATAAGTCTTAATACAATTACAAAGCACAATCCTAGTAATTATGAACTTTTTATCAAATGGTGAACAACATAGTAGACTAAATTTTGCTGACCATATATAGATATTGTGCTAAGTAACATTTTAGTTCTCAGTATGAAATGTTTTTCTAACAACTTAGTGGTAATATTCAATTTAGTTTGATACTATGCTCTTAATACTCATGTGTATTATGTTTAATTTTTTCTGTCTCAACTTTGAGTAAATTATTTTGTCGATTGATTAAAGCTAATAAATATTTAAGCTTAAATATTAACTTTATATACAAATTGATTGTGTTCAAGGAGCCAAATCATCTAAGCAACGACATTTTAATTGGCTACTTATGGTAGTTAAAGCCTGTTTGTAATGGAAGTATAAGTTTGTAAAATTCTGTGTTTGATAGTGGAATCTCCTCGAAATAATTCCTATGCTTCATATATCACTCATCCTGATAATCATTATCAGATAACTTCTCAATCATGTGTACGTTTCAGAAGATAATACGAAGCTCTGACTACAGTTTATTACTGTACAGCGCAGATCACTAAGCGAATACGAATAGAGGTGTAAATGTCAACGAGCGAATGAATGGGATTTAAGAAGCACATGCATATAAGCAAGCGAATGAATCACCGAACAATTTATGTAACTAACAATTTTTGCTAGTAAGAGGAATATGTTCGTAGACTGTAACACGTGACCAAGTATACATGATCATAGAAGCATGGCGATAATAGTGTAACGATATAACCAAATTATTACTGACACAAATGGCACTATCTATTGAATATTTTAATTAAAGAGCTTAATAAATTCAAGCTTGAATAAACTAATGTTTAGGTGAGGGTACTATGTCCTATATTCAGCTGTCTATCATACGCAATTATTTCAAGTTCGCAGTACCAATTGTAAATAATATTTAACAAAATAACGTCACTGATATGACATGACTCAAATTAGGTCAAAATTTTCGAGTTATATCAGTCTATGAAGTCATTATTTGTTGATCTGGGCTATGTTGGTAGATTCAGACTACTTATTTGGGTTACGCGTTAAAACTGCGATCAGTAGTTGGGGTTGTATGACATAGCTCAGAATGATTAACAGTAAAACAGATTCACTCTATATCTTACTGTAGATTTTAAGCTCTGGTATTCCCTCATACATATCTTCTCATTTTGTCTTCTCGAAACATAATCTCAATATTTAGTCTTTCTCACTATCAAAACTATTTCAATTTCTTTGATATTCATTTTATTAGTTTTATCTTATGGGTCTAATGTGGTATGGAGACTGGTGTGAACGCATATTTATGATTAATTGAATGACTGACCTATTAATAATGTCTGTCATCAACCTCTAAGGTTAACAACAACTCTAAGCACAGTGGAATGATACTTTGAGATGGTGGAGATTTGTAGCTCAAGTGGATGACTTTGATGGAGTTTTGTTTTCTGAGCTGGATCATGAGTACTTAGATCAAAGTGGCAAACATGATGATGAATTTCGACTTACTTTAGAAAAACTGAACAGTCGAACAAACACGGGTGGTGTTCAAACGTCAAAATATTTATCAAATTTAATTCCAATTAATTAAACGATTATAACTTATAATGTACAGTTTGAGGCGTGTTCTTATGATAACTAACCGTAATTAATGACCTTAGTGCAGCATAAAAATTTGGGACAAATAATTGATTGAGTAATTGTAAATATTTATTGCTCAAATTATATTTCCGTTCTTTTAAAATAACTGTACAATTAAGTAGAAAGTTAAGCGATATATTGATTGATGATTTCGGGTTATTTTATAATGATTTTAATTAGAAACTTAACAATTACCAGGATTTGAAAAGATGGAAAACAAATGCTTGGTCGTTTTTCCGAATCTCCTATACTTACTACTACTTACGCCTGTTACCCCTCGTGAAGGAGCATAGACCTCCTACCAACATTCTCCATCGAACTCTGTCCTGGACAATCCTTTCCAGTTGTTTCCACTACATCTATAACCCTACTAGGGCTACTACCGATCTCAAGCCCGAGCAAAGGAGGAGGGTTGGGCATGGGGTCAGCATCTTTGCTAAAAAAACGCTGACCTGAATAAACAAATCTCCTATAGGACTTTGGTTATTTTCCAATAGATGTGGTAAACAGACGACAAAAGATGGATTCATTTTTATTGTCTGCTCACTCTTGAGTCTACTATTATCCCTTGCGTTTTATTTCTCTGTGATATCTTTTGAACTATATTATCTACGCTAAGTTTCCTGCTACTGTTAATATTATTATTTGGACTGACTTACTTTTCATATTGCTATTGCCTTCCCAATACATGGACAATAGTGTGAAAGAATGGACTGATTCAGATCTTTATAAGCCCTTTATAAGCACCACAGACTGACCCGAGCTAGACAATAAATAGGAACCACGCAGCACTAAATAGCGGTTCTGATCTCGTATGAAGTTCTCGAACCATACACACTCAGGGACCTTCTCTAAGGTAGAACTATTTTCCTCTAGATCATTAAGGTAGTATCAAGTGGGTCAAATTTTCAGTTTCATTTAATTTACACTTCAGCTCGACCATGATTATACTCTCATGGATAGTGCCTGCCTCATTCCTAGCTTACATAGTTGAGTTCCAACGGCAACTCACTCTTACTGAAACTCCCTTCTATTCATTTATTCTGGTGTGTTTTTTCATAGTTCGGTTTGATTGTTTGTTTGTTTTACTGTCAGCTATCTCAAAGAATTCTAACTTCAACTAATGCAATAGTTATATGATCTATTCATTTCTAATTGATCGACCTGTCATTTGTTTTTATTAAAATGCACATTTTGTAATTGTACATATTATTTCATCTTTTGATTCCACTTTCAAGATCACTAGATCATATGAACAAATAACTAGAAACTTAACATCAACTTTTCGTTGTCTGCCGACTTTACAATCATTTGAACTTTTATTTCCAAATGGTAATTTACCCAACTCGAATTCTCTTCATTGTCACGTAAATATCATTTCAGTAAGTATATGTTTATTAGAAGTAGTTATCATTTCATTTTATCGATTAATTGTTTAAATCATATATACCGGACAATTTTCATCAACTATCTTGTTAATTATGATGTTAAATTAATTTTCCTATTTGTACTCTGATTTGAGCCACAGTCTTTGTGTTAAAGATAAGTTATACTAGCCACCCAGCTGAAGTGATGAAGATAGAATGGGGTTCAAACCTTCTATCTGTTTTGGTGATTAGGACTCTACTGGAAGACGTTGATAACGAGATGACGTTAATGATAAAATTATGTTCGCTATGTTTCAGCATGCCATAAGATTTTATTTGAAATTTTTATATCTGCATAATCTCTTAATAGATGTGTCGACTCCGTTTAGTCTTACTGCTTTTACTTGACAATCGGGAATCACTGCAAAGTATGAAGACAAAAGACACTAGAATAATTTCTATGCTATTTTCGCACACAAAAATACCAGATACATAGCTTACCTGAATTGATTCAGAGAATATATTTATCATACTGAACGAAGTTTATGCTTAATTGATCCAAGAAATGTTTACTTAAATAATGTTGTATTTTTATCACTTCATATCAGAAACAGAGGTGATATCTTAGTTATGTTATGACCTTAACAGCTTGAGGTAATGTCTTCTTGCAAGCTCTGAAAAACGTGTTTCTGAATGTGCAGATTTATTTAAACTTACAGATGCACCTGGAGTATTTGATAAATACCAACAGTTGCGAAGGTGGTAACTACTAGATTTCCACAACTGTATTATTGGATTGCTTGTACGATAGACGTTTAATAATTGCAGAAAGAAATAGATTATCATATAGCTATTCTAATTATATATTTTTGGTAATTCATTTCACATCTTTACATCAATTTTCATTCTTTTTTTCCTAATAACAGGATCATATCAATATTATTCAAGGTGAAATTGACTGGTTGCATAAATATATTGAACCAATCATTATGAATGAAGATCGACTTAATTTATTTACAGATACTATTACTAATACTACTGATACTACTAATATTACTAATAATGAAAATAATATTGGAATCAGTGATCAAATTGTAAAATTCTATGAAGTTAATCAACATCTAACACAATTACTTAGTTATTTTACACAAATTTATCAACAATTATCTGTTTTCTACATACCGACTATGGACAGATATCATCAGACAATTGATCATGCGTTGACTTACATTAATACTATTCAAAATCAAGTAGAATTACTTCGAGAACTGGCAATATCTATCAAGGTTAGTGATAAGGATGATAAGGAGGATTGTGAAAGTACTAATTACGACGATGAACAAAATGAGAATGTAGAATGTGCTCTAATTACTTATGAAAGGTTAGAAAATCTATGTACTGGAAAACAACAGTGTTTGGTAAGTTATGTAAATATTTGTGCTGATTTTAGCTAGTTGACCTTTTTAGACTCTTAGGGGAGATTTATTATCAAGAAATACACTTTCGATACCAATGCTCATATGCTGTGTCTAATGTAATAGGATTCTTTGAGCACAGTGTTTCTTAGTTGGATGCAGTCGACAGGTAGCCGTATCTCTTTTTAACAATGAGTACCTGAAAGACTGGTGCTTCCAGTGGGATTCGAACCCATGTCACAGCCGGAGAAGTTACTTGATTACTTATACCTGTTAAGTTTCCTGGAGGAGCATAGGCCACCCGACAGCATTCTCCATCAAACTCTGTCCTGGACAATCGTTTCCTCTTGTTTCCAGTTGCTATTCGTCCTTTTGATCTCTGCTTCCGATTCTCGGAGCAGTGTGTTCTTTGGACTTCTTTTCCACTTCTCTTTAGGATCCCAAGTTAGCACTTGCTTTGTGATGCAGTTTGGTGATTTCTGTAATTTATGTCTTATCCACTTCCTTTTCAGTCGGAAGTTGGTTCTCCCCTACAATAGGTTGTTGCTGATAATATCAGGTCAAATATATCGTCCTGAATTCGAGTACCTCTGACGACGCTAGTGAAACCTATAATAAGCTTATTTTAATTAAAAGCTATGTATTTTTGCTGAACTCTGAAAATTTTTATACTGAGATGGTGGAGAAGATTTGTAGCTCAGGTGGATGATTTTGGTGGAGTTTTGTTCTCGACCAAACCATCCAGCTCAGAGAACAAAACTCCACCAAAATTTTTATACTGTACTACATAGGACCCTGATGGTTCTTAGTAGAACTAGTGGTGTACGTTTCCACATCATTATCATCATGTTTACAGATAATGTGTTTGAATTATTTAGCTCCAAATGCCCTGGTACGGCCGGGCGTAGGGAGAGTCCGCTCTTCCTCTCGAAATCCTCTCACATAGCCACACGTATACAGCCACTACCAGGACAGTCCTACTAATTGCCTTCTCGAGGCGGGGGTGTTTACGAAATCGGGGGGATAAAAAGCGAATGCCTAGCGCTTTAACCGGGTTAATGGATATGGAGGATCCACCTAGGGGATCATGGGACTGCATCTCCTAACGTTACTCCACTGCCTTGTGGTTCAGACCTTTAGATCGAAGGCTCCGGGTGTCGTCTCCTTACAAAACCACTTGCTTCGGTCTGGGCACCCGGGTAGTGTCACATCCCACATATAAATCAAGTGACTTGTGTTGCGCATATGTATTCGGTGCCCCTTTATACCACTATTTATGTGTTCAAATAAATAAATCGACCGACCAGTTACTTTTAACAGGATTCAATGTAAAAAAGGTCACATCATCCAATTCACAAAAGTTTATATTGATTACACTGAGCATAATGAGTTCCAGGAAATTAGTTGACTAAGTGAAGCATCATCTAAACAATATAAATAAAATTGTACCAATATACAGCCTTATTCAAGTGGATATACATATTAACAGTCTCTGGAGATAAAAGTTTAAGTTATTTTTCCTGTATAGTCTTTATGTTTATTGTAATACCTTTCATCCCAATTGTCGGTCATCTATCTGTGTGAAGTTTAACATTTCCCTAAATTTGTTATTTTGTTCTATAAACTGGACTCAAACAAACTAGCTTACTGGCCAAATTATTCTTAATTGACAATTGAATACAATTCTTTGTAGTTTAGGCGTAATTAACACCTGGATGATAGGTTCTGTTACAATCAAGGATGGTAGAAACCCAAAGACGAAAGTTATTTTCCATTTTAATGAATAACCGTAAATGAAAATTGTGAAAATTCACATATATTTTAGATGGGAAGAATATATTCTTTCCCATACAGTGTGAAATTAAAGACATTCATTTCATACATGTCAAGACGTGCATTAATAATAATAATGTACTTTCCACATGCAATTGATTTTAAACAAAGGATTTAAACATGAAAGAGAATGAGTCATAAACTGTGGAATGAGAATAGATCAGACTGATCATCACGGAGTAACTAACTAAATTAATTAACTAAAGAACATAATCAGTTTATTAACATAAACTATCTACACTGGTATTAAATGTGAAAAAATTTTTGTTTGCCAAAAGGTCATCAGGATGAAAGGTCAGTTACAAAATAATACAAACCATAGTATAAGGTTTATTGTTAATACTTACTTCACATGGATTTGATATACTCGATGTTAGGACAAAATAAGATTGAATTCTACCTAGAAAGTTTTTTTTTCAGTTTTACTTCTAAGATTTTGTTTTCCAAATTTTTTTCATTTCAAATAACTGCTAGCTTTGGGATCAAAAACACGCATTTCATCCTACTCTAGGATTCGTTAGCTGGAGTTATCTGAGTTTTAAGGTTCTCACTGAAAGTCTAACCTAGTATTCATTCATTGGATTAACAGTACGTTACCCTCTAGATAGCTGTTATGACTGAAGGTCTCATTGAACATCGGTACTGAAATACAGATACATCCAACCGGTGAGTTAGAGACTGGACTTAATGTGGTTCTCAAACTCCATTAATAACTACCATCCGAACGATAATCAACTCGTAAATGCTGGCAAAATTGAGGCATTCATTTGATGAGTCCATATGCCAATAGACGCTGGCCAATACAGTCCTGATGACTGGGAGCAGAAAAAGTATAAAGTTACATAGTTACTAATAAATTCCAAGTATGTTAGTGGACAATGCCGAAAGTTTTACTTAGTAACCACTGATTAGTGTGTATAATCATTGTGAACACGCAGTCTAAAAACAGGATAATAAGTTACCTAAATGATAAACACAAATACACTTCCTATACTTTTGTATTTCAGTGCTATTCTTGATGATATTATTTCTCAACAATATTTAAACATTCATTGCATGTAATCCTTTTTCGTGTCAATACATTAATGGTTTGAACTAAGTGCACACACGTTAGTATGCCCAATCAAAATACAACGTTAAGCGGTAATCATTGTGGATACTTTGACATAATATATATCCCTTATTGTAAATTAGAACAACATCTATAAGTGAACAATGTCGTTTTTCTTAGTTAGATCCTCATCAGGCTTCACTCTAATATACTGTAATATTTATATCCATATATTCAATTATTAGACCAATAAAGCCAGTTTATGAGTCACTGATAACAGTGGAATAGATTACATAAATAAACATAATAAGTAAAAAGTACAAACTTATATTATGATCACTGACCTACTAATTGCGATAAGAATAATAAAGGCTCGAATCAATGTTAATAGTAGGAAAAAGGTCAGTGTTTTGGAAAAGTTGACGCTGAAATAAGATTTATTAAAATGATGAAATTACGTAATAAGTGTTCCGATGATTGGAGAGTGAAGTGTAAATTTGAAAAGGAGAGTAGAGTAAAAATAAACGAAGCATGACGAATCCCTATTCTTTTGATATCACATCAAATTTTTCTCTACTACTACAACTAAAGGAGCTAGTTAACCGGGAAAAGGATACCCACCCCGAAATAGCTTGGCATGATATCCGAAAAACTATGGAAACAGTAGTGATATTTACTGCTAACTTTAACCAAAAAGTTAGGAAAAATAAGTGGATTTCAGTGGCGTCTACAGAACTGATAGATGCTCGGAAATTCATGCCATCTGGTTCCGGACACGAGGAGCATAGGCAGCCTAAACACAGGCTGATAAAGAGCTTAACTAGTGATGATGAGCAGTGGTGGTTAGTTACAGCAGAAGAGATGGAAAAGGCAGTAGCGGTAGGTAAAAGGCACATCTGTTCAGATTGTCAAGGAAATGGGTATTAAAGATCCGGCTGTTAGTGTAACTGTCTAAGGAAAATACAGGACTGCTATTCACTCTCAATCCGAGAGATTGAACCAATGAGCGGAATACTTTAAGAGAGTTCATCTGGACCCCATTGACACTTTAGTTACCCACTATCTCCAATCGACCTTAATGGCAAACTGATACAGTTCCTATAATATTAGCCTCAATAATACTTCGACGTCTAATTACAGCTCATGAAGAGCAAACCCAAGAAAACCGAGCTGGTTTCAGACTTGGAATGTGGATATATGGACCGAATATTCACTCTTTGGAACATTCTGGAATGTAGACATGCTTTCCGACGTCCGAATGTAATTGCATTCCAGAGTTCGACTCCGTCAATCGTGAGGTTCTGTGGCAGTGTCTGTCATTGGAAGGCGTACGGGAGAAGTACACTAGACTTGTACAGGCTCTACTCGAGCACTTCTAGTCAAGTCAGGGCTTATGATGAATTGTCGTCTGAATTGGTTACTTCAAGTGCTTTTCGTCAGGGTCGTCCGCCTTTTCCATTTTCATTTAACCCTTCCATAGGCATTCGCTTAGAAATAACCCTTTCATCGTCTGACTTTTCATAAGTCAGCTGTCTACCAAAAGATTCACTTGTTGATTTAGAATACGCAGATGATGTAGTTCTGTTTGTTGGATACGCTGACAAAATACGGACTCTTCTCATCATCTTAAGTAACAGTGCAAGCATGCTTAGTATGCGGTTCTCTCCCTCCACTTGTAAAATGCTACTTCAGGATTGACTTGTGTCACTGTCTGGATTAGTGATAAGGAGTGAAGTAGTTGGATGCATCGACTGCTCCATTCATCTTGGAAGTCTCATCAGTATTGATGGTCTGGCGTCCGACGAAATCTCAGCACACGTTCAGGAGGCTCGACTGGCCTTTGCCAATTTGCGTCCCTTGTGGCGTAGACGACATGTCCGTGTGCCAACCAAAGGGCGAGTTTACTGCGCTGCAGTTCTCTTCGCCCTACTTTATGGATGTAAAGCATTGCCATTAATAATGCATGATATTCGTACGCTACTGGTATTCGACCATAGGTATCTACGAACCATTGCTTGTGTATTTTGTGACCGGGGCGTAAGCAATATCTGAGTTAGGAATAAGGTGCTAAGTAATGAAGACAAATCGACAGATCAGGCAGTAAATTTTCATGGACTGTGGTGACTGGGATGTGTTAGGTATTTTGAACATCGCCTAACTCGACGGGCGGTGTTTTCTAATATAGGAGTTGGCTGGAAGGAGGCTACTGGCGGTCAAACTGAAACATAGCATCAGTCCATAAAGCCATTGACAATTGGACTTAGCCATTTTAATAGGTGTGGGTTGCCTGGTTGTAGTCCGCATGATTATCGTAACCGATGGTTACGGATTTAGGATAATATGGCTCAAAATCGTTTGTAATGGCGGAAGTGCATTCATTCATTGTCTTCCCTCAAGTCCTGAGCTTTTGAGCTCGTCATGATTTTTTTCGTTTCTAAAGTTCTTGTTTTCTCGAATCATATGTTCAATGTCTAATCTCCCCTATTACCACTCATACTGTTACTACGGCTTTTGAACCAATCCAAGATTTTAAGAAATAAAGTTCTTAGCCTCATTCCAAAGCATTACAACAGTTCAATGTATTTTATTATTTGACAAAAATTCTCCCTAATATTTCAGTTTGAGTAACATCTAGTTGACGGTTTTGTTTACTTTATTGTGAAGTGTATGGTGGTAGTATTATGTATGCTGTTTTAGCCCAGAAATCACAACAACTCCATCATTATCCTGAGCTATGCGTTTTTGGCCTCTACCAGTGAAATCCTACTTATCACCTTTAAAAAGTAGTTCTTACTTATGAAGAGTAAAGACAAATAATGAACGTCTGACACATATCAGGTTGGTGAATACGAGTAGTCTACCTTAAAAAATTAAATTAAAAATCAACGATGTGTATGGGCTCTAAGGTCCTGATGGGACAAATAACTCATAAATCTATTTTTGGTTCGCGGTTATCATTTCTCAATGCTATTCCGTTGCCTTGTGAATTAGGCCTCTGGGTTAAAGGCTTGGGGTATGTCCCCTTAAGGAAACCGCCTGTTTTGGTTTAGGTGCTCGGGTAGTGTCGCCGCCCACACATTTATTATAACTGTGTAGCGCATACTAATTTTCCTGTCCAATTGTACCAGGCTTAATGTTCATTAAACAATTAAAAAATAATAAAGCATAGAACTATTTAGAAGGCTTCTTGGTGAGCTTGTTTTTTCTAAGCTATAAATTTTCCTTCTTAGCAATGGATTTCTTGTTTAGAAATAAATCATTTGTTTTCACCAACAGTTCTACAGCTTTTTCCACTTTACTTATTGATTTTTGTCTAAATATGAATAGGAACTATTGGAAAATGTTCAAAATAGTCATCGAACTATTATTGATGAACTTGTAAATATGGTCAAACAAATTCAAATTTCAATTGATGAAGTGATAAAATCCACTGACAACAGTCAAGATTATTCAAAGACGATGACGTCAGCAACAACAATACCAGTCAACACAATAACGACCAGTACTTATTTGTCAAAATTACTGGATCCTATTGAATCAACATCACAAAGATTTCTGTATTTTATTTCAGAAATTCAAAAGATAATCTCTGAATATGACCAGTTGATTAGTCATACAAGTACAAGACAAAAGTTAGTGCCTCAAGAATTATCTGTAAGTGAGAATGTACGGGATACATTAGATATACATGATTCGGAATTGTTTCAAGTTAGTTATATTAAGTTTATTGACATCCTTTTCAATGACCATATATTATGGATTTCAAGTTAAATTATTATACCCTGCTCACTTTTTGAAACTGACCTATTATTGTGCATAGGTTGGTTTATTTGAAGTGATAAGCGACAATTATACCGACTTAGTAAATTCATTTTCCATATCAATATCCTTTTTCACGAAATCTACACACATATGGTAGGATTTGACAACACTGATATCAACTTTCATAGAACGTTAGACTTGGATTACATGTATGCATCTACTAGATCTTGTAAGGCTTTAGGAGCTTATACTGTGCAGTTTGTCTTAGTTCTTATCTTATGTGTTAGAACAACCCATAAATCCCGATAATCTTTGACAATATTTAAGGGTATCATATTTATTATTTAATTATACGAATAATCGCCGTTATGATCATTTTCTATGACATAATGTTTGCCAATGTTCGTTTCTAATGAGGACAACCAAACCAACCTATAACTTTATCTTATAATTATTTTATCTAGTTCTTCATATTTCAATCTATCCATAAATATCAGAACAGATGACTTTGCAATACCCGATAGATCATTAGCATCTAGTAAAACAGGATTAAATACTGAAACGATCCCATAAAGTGGCTTGAATATTACTTACTTCCTCTTTCGACAAGTGATTACAGTTACTACTTTTTGTTCTGTAACAAATGTGGCTTGCTTACAGTACTTAACTTATGACAGTTAGTGGCAAAGCATATAGAAAATGACTTTAACGTTCTCTCTCTCTCTCTCTCTCTATATATATATATATATATATATATATATATATATTCTTACTTCCCTACTAATTATAGGACGCTTGTATACCATCAGTTAATAATTATCAACACCATTTTAATGTATTCGACAAACAATATGAAGAATTATTAAATGAATCTTTGACAAATTCTTGGTCAGTTGTTCGTGATCATTTCCATTTGAATGATGAGAATCAATTGGTGAATGGACAAACATTACTGGTCAATAATTTATCTCAAACAATGATTCACAGTTGTGATTCAAATGAAAGACGTAATACAGAAGTAGTAATTCTGAACAATATCTTAAAAAAAATAGATAGTTTAGAAAGTGAGTTAATTCATACAGTGCGCTTTTCTTTTTCTTTAAATGATGGATAATATCAATACTATTGATAAAAAGAATATGAATTCATTAAATCAGTATAAAATGAATTTTGTGTTTTGCTAATGTCTGTTAAACTTACGTATTCACTTACTATGAACAGCAAATAATGACAAGTGTAAATGTTGATCTATGAGCGATCATTGAAATACTCGTATAAAGATTGCAAGGTTGGTATCTCATTGAATGTTCACTGTTCTCTGAAAATAGATAAAGTATGAAAGAGTTTCTCAGTAGCTAAACCAAGATAAAACAACAAATTAAAATACCTGACAGTTGTCGAATTTAGATATTTTAGAGGTTGAATATGTTCTACTAGTTTTATCGAAATATGAGTTATCGTAAATATGAAATGTCGAAATTGTTTTCGCCGTTTTATCATAAATTTAGTGAATCAACTCATGTTTGTTACATTATTTGTTAGCAGCCAAAAACATTGGATGCAGTATATTTAGAAAGGTGGATACTTTTGTACTCAAGTTTTTGCTGCTTATTATGTTATAGATATTGTATGGAGTTTGTGAAGAACTGAGTTTTTGTTGATGTGATTGTTCTTCCATTATAAACACTAATTCAGATTTCGTATTTTTGAGATGTCTATATTATACTACTTAAATGTATTTTCAGTAGAAATGTTCTGGTGTTTGATTTTTTATATAATTCAATGTTGCGTATATAAATTGAAGGATTTGTTCAAAGAGTGACCATTCTACAAGGGCTTTCTGTAAACAGAGGGAAATCCAAGTTGATCTGTTTACAAGAAATTCTTGTGGAATGGTTAGCTATCAAGCTTTTACATCTAGGTCCTCATTAGTTGAAGGCGAAACTTAATTATATCCCTCGCTACCCGGATACGAAGAATTTGTAGTACTGAGGTCATCGATATCTAATTGTACTTCCTTAGAAATGCTTTTCAAAAACGGGCATCCATCAGTATTTATTGAGAAGAACATAAAACTCGAACCTCCTAAAGCCCAAATAGTCTCTGAATATGGGAAACTCTTAGGAACGTCCATTTCAAAGTTGATCTGACCACAGACATCCTGAAGAGGAGAATTACCGACTCTCTCATGAAAACGTTCTTCACCACAATTTTGGGATTAGTGTTTCCCAACCAGCCATTGTTCACTGGCAGTCTATGGGATAAACTATCTCATTTGAACAATTCTATATGCAATTTCTAATTTACTAGTTCGTATGGAGCCAGGTATTTAGGATCTTCGATGTGTATTTTATCCAAAGTTATTTAATAACATTATTCGAGGTTGGTGAAAAGAGGTGAAAAATAGATCAATATTAAGTCTAATAATCAAACATTTTGTGGAAACAGACCATTTAAACAAAACACACTCAGTGTTCGAAGTCATCTACAAGATAAGTAGAAAGCTGTCAAAAACAGTTAGCCTCTGTCTTTTTAACACTCCTAAAGCATTTGGTATACATCTAAATAGACCAGAATTATCTGTACGAAATAAATTCGTACAACCTCTTCGTCTACCATGGTCTTACTCATAATTTCTTCCTCGCTTTCAGAGTCATCTTGTTCTCTTCTTTTTTTTCTATAGACCTTTTACCCACAGCTGATTTGTTTCTGTTTACATGATCTTACTGATTATAGTTTATCTCGATTTCAACGTTTTATCCCAATATGTTGGGTCTTGCTTTTCAAGTATACATTTCCAATTATACAGTATTGAAAACGAATTCACTGAAAATAGAACTCTTCGCTGAACCTTTTTTTTGTATTTTGTGTCTCGATTGTTATATTCTGTTTAGTATGTAAATGGATCTTATTTTTTTTAGATAATCTTAAATTATCCTGTTGTAATATAATGAATGATGACCTGGTAAAGAATAGGATGAGTCAAGTGAGCGAATTACGGTCTGATGTAACTGACAAATTAAATCAAACAATTAAGGAAATTGAACTAGTGCGAATGAGCAGTCAACAAATAGAGTATGCTCAAGCAAAGTTGAATGCTCTAAAAGTAAGTTCGGAATAAGTTTGAAATGCACAGTCTCTTGAATTTTTTTGTTCATGTGTTCCGTTTTCCCTTATTTTGCATACCTGGTCTAAAATATATGGTTACAATAAAAGACGTAGTAGATATTAGTCTTTATTTAGGAAAATATTTCTCGCAAGTTGGGACTAATCAGAAATGGAGATAAATTTAAAATCGGTAGTGAAGTGTGAAGTATTGCTTGAAGTTAGTCGACGGGAAACCGTGAACATAAGTTTCATAGTATTTGGGACACATCAGTAAGGTGTACCTGTAGTCTAGAAGGAACTGGTACTCCCTGTCAGAGACGATCTTATGTTACGTAGCTTAGCAATCAGAGACATTACTATTGAACTATTCGAATCACGACTAACCTCTTACAAGACTAAGGCATACTCACTGAATAGTGACCAGTTTCATGTATCAGGTCTTTCTCAGTGTAACACGATCGTTAGAATTCGATTTTTTGTAAAATTGAGATGTGTTTGAACATCTCATGAATATTCATTTCCTTAAATGAACTCACATAATGTTACTTAGTGTTAGCTTACGAACATAGTGTGGGTTTTTACACCCTTCTGTAAGTCATATCTTTATATGCTTATATCTTTATATATTTTCTATGAAAATCGATATCATTTCTATTAATTACCATTGCCTCTTTTTTTCACTATTGTTGTGTAATCTGATGCTTACTTATATTTCTTTGTGTATCATCTATAAACATGGTGGTTATTAATATTAAATGTAATTTTATTAATGTACTTTACGATTTAGTCTACATTTAAACAATCAGGCGATTTATTTCAACATAGCGTAATCTTTCAAAACGAGGCTGAATTGGTAACTAATATATTTGAAACATGTGGTCATTTAATTAAAAAACGATTATCTGAAACAAATGTAAGTTTGAATTGTCACTTCAATATATTATAAGTAAAAATGTAATCACAAATTTATTTACCTTGAAAGGTATCAATGCAAAAATAGTGCATTTATGTGTGTAATATTACTGTTATTGCTTTATTCAATTGAAATTTATTTAGTTAATTGTTATAATTTATGGCATGTACGCCTTGTTAATGTATACTGCCAATTAGAGAGCAGTGAGTTGTCGATCGAACCAATGACGCGTAAAACCTGTGCGAGCAGTCTAGAGTACTTATCGGTCCTACTTCCTACCTAACCCAGCCAGTTAAGTCCAGAACATCGATTTCAGCCTGTGCGATATGAATCATTTATTTCAAGCATATTGGGTTTATATACCAACCAGACCGAACACATCGTATCATAAAATGGAAAATAACATTTATACAAGATTTGGCCAAATGTGTCTGTGAATGAGGGAGGTAGCAATTGATAGACAGGGAATAATTCAAGAAGAGTAAATCCTAGAATAATAGTTCATCGGTCAAAATAAATCTCATAATGAGAGGGATATAAATATGAATAGTTTAGTTATTTAACAATTATACGATAAAAATATACGTATAGTATTGGTCCACAAATGGATCCCGAAAGTTACCATTCATTATTCTTATCGGGACATAATATTAATAAAAATGTTGCTTTCACATTGTGCATCTATAAATTTCAATGCCTTTTGAAAAATAGTTTAGTGTATCTCAATTTCATACTTAGGAAACGTGGTTATGAAAAAGTGTTTTATGCTCTTAATTAAAGTTTTTATTATCTTCTCTTTTGAAGTTCACGGTAGTTTTGCCTACGAAACCAAGTAAATTTTGATAACTGAATTATTCAATTAATAGAACGAGTAGTACATTAGCTTTCCCTAAATCAACTGAACCTACAGCGTTGTATCAGACTTCATCCATAAACCTTATTCCAGTCAGAATAATTCTTTTATTAGTTTACTTATATTTATAGACGTACTTTTTTTTGTTGAAACTGTTTATTCGGCCTCTTATTAATTTTGACTTTAATAAAAGTTTGTTACTGTAACTGAAGAATGTGCTGATATTCCGTCAAGTATTAAAAAAAAGAAGAACCATTATCATTCCAGCAAACAGAAAGTTTTGAATTGGTATTAAAGTTATTGAAATTCATGATTTATGATAAAAATCTTTCAAAAGTACTACTTATATCGGATTACTTAATCGATATCAGTCTAGCGACTATCAAAATTTCATGGATTTGTTCATTTTAATATCTTTCTTATTTTAATGATTTTACTCTTTTTAGCATTTTCTGAAATGAAATCAGTGTACTTTAATACGGATTTGTGTGTGATTCTGTTCGAATGTGTCTCTATTCTGAATAAACTTGAGCGTTTATTAGAGAATTGTATTAAATAAGGTTATGTTCAATACTAATAAGATCTATCAAATTGTTCTATGGTGAAGTGAGAATAGAGTACTATTTATTCCTTGAATACATGTATATCGGCGATCGCTATTGTCAACATGTTTATTCAGTTAGAGTAAACAGTATTGTTGTTTAAATTTTCAATAACAACTTCATATTATGTCATTTTCCAGTACCACGGCTCTACATCTAATTACATTCAAAAGAAGCTTTAACTGGACCCTGGTGTGTTTTATTCTATCCTGCAAATCTAAGTTCAGAAATATTGTTTCTTAATCTCTGATGCAATTTAACCCCAAGGTGTTCTTCTTTATGTAAAACTTCGTGATATTAATCATCTTTAATACAATCTAGTGTTGTAATCTTACTTCAAATTTCTGAATAACGTAATTAACTGTCGCTTCTTTTGTCTATGTGTTTTTTTCTCAACTTCTCTTTATTAGCAAGTAATTGACAAGCTTCAAGAATTAACTGATGAAACAAATTCTACTAATCCAGGTCGTTATTTACTACAGAATTTTAACTTTGATGATGAAAATGACATATTTCCATCTGAAATCGCGCATATCAAAAATAACCAATTGATAGATTCAATAAATTCTGAACAAAATACCATATCTCTAACATATTTTAATATTCCTTTATGGTATGAACAAACTAAGGTAAATGATGAAGTGATCAATTTTCTGGAACATATAAAAATCAACGTGAACAACTATTATTTAGTTATGAATTATCACAACGTCTTGCTATATGGTTATCAGTAAGTTGGATTGTGAAATTTTTGTTTCCTACAGAAAATGAAAATGAACCAGTTTTCATTTGATAAGATCAAGTATAGATGAATTATTTAACTGATACTTGTGTTTATTCATTGGGTTAAATACCTTTTTAATCGAACAATCATGAATAAATATTAATAAAATCCAGATTGTTTGTTATACCACTCAGTTTGTGTCTACCCTTACACATAATACTGGATAGTTTTAGATTGGATCGGGATGAAGCTCTCTCTCTCAGTGAAGAAAATTGTCATTAGCCCATGAATTCATTGACCATTAGACTAAACCCTCTCTGTTGATACAGACCATGGGGTTGGAGTCTTTGTTATAATTATTCATTCTGAAAATTAATTCCTTCATTTCGAGCCATATTTCTCATATGCAGTCTTTTTTTATCATCATTAAAATAAGCATTACTTTGACTCCTTCCATATTCATCTTTTTAATTTTTTCCCGATATCCTGATATGACGTATCTCCTTGAGCAGATGAATATATGTTCTTACTTCCTACATTGATCGTAACTAATTAGATTGGTGGGGCGCTTTTACGAAGTTTCTTAAAATTTCAGGAAGAAACATTAGACGATAGTAAGACTTTTTTATCATGACCCCACGCGTAAAGAAAAAAACTTAATACGACATAAACGTAATTTAATAATTGTTTAAAACATTCTCAGTTTTGTAGTATTCTTGTGTATCATTCACTAAAAATAGCCTAACCTGCCTTCAGAGATTTCAATTTGTTCCTCCGCATCAAACAGAATTTTATTTCTGTGCCAAAATGTTTACTTGTACACTTACAATTGTCACATAGAAATGTTTATGTGCTTTCATCTTGTTTTTTCTGTTTTCCAGGTAATACATCCTAGAATGACCAAATTGAAAGTGAAATTTCAACACCTAAGTGTTAAGTCAGCTAATTTAAGTGGCAATAATGATCTGTGCTCACATTTACATGATGTAACCGTAAGTCAAGATTATCGTATATATATTAGTAGCACAGTTATGCTGTCACACTGAACAGACCTTGGTATTTCATTTTTGTATTGGTAGTTTGAATCTTCCCATTGATGTTTAGGACTGCATTTAAACAGTTTCTTATTGGCACATGTGCATACTGTGCGTATTGCCTCAATATCGCCTTCACTCACAAACATTATAAGCTGAGATGATGATGGCTAGCAGTGGAATCCAGTTTGAAGCGCGTTTCGTCCTATTTGGGACTCGTCAGTTGGATGCACCTGCATTCCAGAGTTGATATTTACTCCATCTCTGCTTATAATGCTTGTGACATAAGGTAATATCTAGGCGATCCGCACAGGATGCACATATATCAATAGGAGGCTGATCAATTGCAGTCCTAAATATCAATGGGAAGATCCAAACAACCAATACAAAGTGAATTAAACTTCACCCCATTGCACAAGCTAGTGGCTATCAGGACTCAATAGCCTGGTGGAAAACGCGATGGCGTTTGAAGCAAACGATATTGTGTTGGAGTCCCAGAGTGAACATCTAACGAGTCCCAAAATAAGACGGAACGCACGTCCTGGATCTCACTGCTAGTCACCATCCATTTCTGCTTGGAACCTAATAATGTCCACTTATTCGGCAAGGTTGTTTCAAGGATCTTTGCTTATACATTCCTTACGAATAACCTCAGCTGTTTGCTTAAATGTTGTTAGTGTTTTGCATTAAGTGTTTACACTCTCTATTGTACATTCATGTCAGTTTACTTCGAAGAACAAAAGCACAACCTTCTGATATATTTTTTGGTTGAGGTTATCTCCATCTGTCTTGTATGGACATGTCCAGTGTAATTCAGTTCTTCATTTTATATAAAAAAGATATATATATATATATACCCATATATATATAGGAATTGAAATCAAGTCTATGAAAATGGTACTCTAACATGTAGTACTCATTAATAAACGGGAAAATAACAGCAACTTCCGGATATAACGCATTCAGTGAGTTATAGACAATACCAATCTGTTTTTTTATAAGTTAAATGGGTAGCTTTTACAAGCTGTTACTGCTAAAGTCGTGAAATTATCGCATGGCATCTTACTCTCATAAGTTGTTGCAATGAAATAGATTACGTTTTCCTAATGAAATTTGTTATATTCCTAGTCTGTAATTGAAATCATGCCTATTGAAATTATATGGGATTTCACGGGTTTTTTTCTTTCTTCAATTTAGCTGTATCGACTTGAACTTTTCTCTCAGCTACCAATGTTTCAGTGTATCCTCAATGACTTCAATGAATTCAAAGATGTAATATTCCATTTAAGTGAAGACTATACATCAGACAATAAAATCGATCGTATTGAACAAACATTTTTCGCCTGTTTCAATAAATGTAAATATGAAACTTCATTAAATGGATCAGTTATTCATTACACTGAACAGAAAATAATGACAATTATAAATGATTTTAATAACATTCTTACAGAATCATCTGTTTATCTAGTAAGTTAGTTGTATACATTGATGTTAAGTTAGTATTCATCTTTTACACTCATAACACATGAAATACCAATACTCGTGTGTCGATATACATCTACAACGAACGTTAACGAAAGACTGAGAGATCCTAGTTACGGTATGTATTATTATAAAAAGAAATTATTTTTAGATAATCTACTGAAAATTTCGGAAGTAGATGTTTTATGCATTTTGCTTTTTACCAGTCAGAGATTACTTTCCATTTTGATCAGTTAAGTGTTACTTGAGATGTCTTATGAATCAACTCAACTTGATAAGTTCTAATTCACTTTTTTTCAGTGGTAGTGATAACAAACAGGTTACAAGTTTGAAACCCGCTTCACTTCAGTATACCTGGCTCAAGGGGAGAGTATGAAAACATATATATGTTTATTAATCCCCGTTTTGTGATCATCATTGCACTGTAAAATTTTACTATACTGATTGATCTAGATTGGAAATGACTCGGTTTAGAATTACGATATGATCTTACAATAGTACAGCCCCTATCTGTTTAGTCTTTTTATTAAATTGCTATATGTTTAGGCATAATTTTACTCTAAACAAACACGTAAGCAGGTGCATCCAACTGACGAGTCCCAAATAGGACGGAACGCGCTTCAAACTAGATTCCACTGCTAGCCATCATCATCTCAGCTTATAATTTTTGTGAGTGAAGGCGATATTGAGGCAATACGCACAGTATGCACATGTGCCAATAAGAAACTGTTTAAATGCAGTCCTAAACATCAATGGGAAGATTCAACCAAACAATACTAAGTAAATTTAAATACGTAAGTTATTTATAGGACTTTGCATTTTATGACTGTTGATGTAAAGAACTCCAAATGATCAGTCTGTGTTTGTATACGTGCATCATCAGCGTACTTGCACAATACTGACACCTAGTTAAACACTTTTATTAATGTTGGGTTACAGCTAACATGGTGAGCGTTTTGTCCTATTTGACTCTCATCATTGGATTTACCTGACTTCGAGTGTTTAAGCTTACAATAAGGCTTGAATGCGGTACCTGTCATTACAAAAATTAACGAGTTATCTTCTGTAAAACCTTAACTATTTGCATTTTCCTTCCATTTCCCAGTCAGCTATAAGAAATCGACTCATTGAAACAAATCAGATTTCAACAGTTCTAAATGAATTGTCAAATTTGCTAGATGAATTCAGTTGTTTAGATGAGAGATTTGTAAAAGATTGTTTGATAAACGAAGAAGAATTACCTGTTCATTGTACAGAAAACAATTTATCCCTTGTAAAAACGTATATTTAAATAACTGGACGAAAGTAAAAATTCTAGAGGTATGATGAAATTTGTTTTAAATGAATATTCTTATGATAGAATTAAATTGTTTAAAATAAAATTATTTTTAGCACAAGGTTGTGGAGGTTATTGAGTTTTGATTGTGATCATGAATCGATCAACATTAGACCAACATTTAAAACCTGAGAGCACTGGACGGCCATTCCATCCTAGTATGAGACTCCTCATCAGTGCTCACTCACGAGCCCACGCGAGGGATTCGGGCCGTGAGCGGTGGAGCTAATCCGTGCAGGTTATGAGACAGTCACCCACTGAAGACAATCGAAGACGGTCGCGCGATTTCGTGGATAGGTTGAAGTTAGACATCAACACCGTTGGATGCCTGCTCAGTGGTTAAGCGTTCTCGCGCAAGGGATCGTGGGTGCAGACTACTGTGGAAGAAAAAACCGCTCAGTATTTCCAGGTTCTCAATGGTGGGCCGATCGATTCATGGTCTCAACAAAATTATTTCTGACATAACAGAATGTATGGGTGTTTGTTACTGATAAAATTAGTGTTACGAAATTTATTGTTTGAATACTTCTCACGAAAAAGTAATTGCATGAATAGTGGAGTAAGATTATATAGTGCTTTTTTAGTTAGGAGTACAAGTCAGAATACGTCAAATACTCCAAACCATTTATAATATCATTCTCTAGTAAACAGTATGTTGTTTAAACTCAACATGATGAACGTTAATATATTGCAATGTCACTTATACTGCAGTGCATATGCTTCAGTTTCAACAATAAAAATCAAATCTCTACTAACCAGTTTATCCATGCCTTTCACTTATGACTATGAATGAGATAAGAAATCATTTTGAACAAATAAACTAAAAACCAGTACACTGAATAGGGAACCTGATTCCAGAATGCAAAATCAGACAAATACCTTCAAAACGGTCAAAATATGGAAACATAGTGTTACTAATTACTCGATACAGAGACGCTTTTGTTACAATGGTTTTCTGATCAAATGATTTGAGTTTCAGTTATTGAATTATATATTGGGACCGCTTTTCATATGCTTCGGTTTAGACAGTCGGTTAATATGTATATTCCTCACATAAAATGTGTATAGCTTAAAAACGATTGCATAGATTTGTAATCGATGTGTCATATTACACGGTATACATATAATGTTTTAAATAATTTCAATGTTATGTAGTTAACAAATACCACTTAATTTTAATCTCTAGACAGTTGAACAGTATTCTAGGTCTTAAGATTCTTGTTATTATTTTCATTACAGATGTGGCATAATGAATTAAAATCTATACAAACTCTACTTAAAACTATTTCAAATGATCGTTGCTTCGATACTGTTACTGCTAATAATAATAATAATAATAATACTGACGAACTGAAGATCGAGATTGATGTAAAACAATTGAAACTGAAAATTGAACAACAATTTTACCATTTAACAAAAAAGAAAACTGAACTGACCAATAAAATAAATCAGGTAACTTTTCTGAAAAATAATTTTAATATCCAGTTATTGAATTTGTCACTCTATTCTTTGTTATTCATGATGGTTTATTTAATTGTCTAGTCAAACTTTAACTATTTTTTTGACAACTTAGTAATATTTTTCAAGGTTATTAGAAAGTTCAAATCCGTTCAAATAAATATTGGAGAACAATGAGTGTTGTGGTGGTCGGTATTCGATATAAACCTTAAACTTCGTATACAGTTCGTTTTGATAACCGTCACTAGATAACGCCCCAACTGTATATTAATCAGAAGGCGAATACGAAGTGTTGATTACGCTTATTACGGGACCACACACACATATCCAAAATTACAGATGCGTTAAACAAGCATAGAAGAGTTGTGCTGAAATGCAAGCAAGCAAGCGAGCGAGGAGTCAGCGAATATGAATACGAGCAAGCGCGTACAATTAAGTGAACGAGAGTGAGAGCAAGAGAGAGAGAGCAATGAATATGAATAACATGGACATATATATACATAGTGAGATGAGTCATCGAATCAAATAAGTGGTTAGTAGTAAGACTAGCATAGTGAATAAATGCGTGGGGCGTAATATAGGACGATTATCAAGACGAAGTGTATACGAAGTTTAAGGATTATATCGAATACCGACCACCACATAATTGGTGAGCCCGACGTGATCTGTTGTAGTGTGTTATACAAGTAACTTTCCATTCTATTCGGAGATTTGCATCATCTAGATGTTCACGATATTTCTTAAGACGGTACAGATAATTTCAAGGTTGTCTGTTGAATAATGTTAGTCTTTGAATTGTCGAGTTTGTTATGATTATTTTATATATCTGAAAAGTCAATAAATCATGATTACAGAGTAGGAGCCAAAAGTATTTTACGGAGTGCTTCTTATCTTTTCTCACATTTTGATCTTAGTCATATAGATATGTATGTGTTTTTGATGTAGTTTTGTTCTCTGAGCTGGATGGTTTGGTCATGGAGCTTTCATTGTTCTTCTAAATAGCATCATCAGCACAAACTTTTACCTGAAAGCTCTACGATCAAACCATCCAGCTCAGAGAACAAAACTTCCATTAAAATCATCCACCTGAGCTACAAATCTTCTCCACCATATGTATGTGTTGATATTTTGAATAACTAAAATATAATCAATGTCAAAAATTGTAGGATTGATATTACACTAATTTAGAACGCTAGTATTTATTGATTGATTGTCAAAAATTTGATGTTACTTGAATAAATCCAGTGGTTTGTAAACCGTTGACATATTATACAACATTCGCACCAATATTTTCTATAAACCACAACAATCTGCTTCTAGCTCCTTCGGAGAAACTGTGACATGTGAGTTAAACCAAATGGTAAATGATTTACTAACACCGTTGATAACAGAGGGTGAACATAGGGACCTATCTTACAATGCGATTGATGTTCGAAATGTTAACTTTCATATTTCAACTTATTGACGGCTGAACGGTATCGTACTCATCGCGTGACCTGATGATTTTAGGTTCTGCTTAAGTGTTAAACCAAGATGACCTAGCTCTCCACTGTTTTATAATTTTCAATGATTTTTCAGAGATCGTCGATTCAGGGTGGAAATTATATATATATATCTTCGTAAAACTGTCGAAATATTACTCAGTGTTTTAATGGATTTAGTTATTGTATAATCTTATCATAAATGTTTGAACATCTTTTGGAATTCCTGTTGATGAGAATTTCATTGTTGTATGTATATGAATTGAATTTGAAAATTAAATAACAGTTGATCACATTTTAATGAAATTTAATATTAGAGGTCCATACTTGTGACCCTAGAATCTTCAATCTTAGCCATGTGACAACAGAATTTGATAATATTTGTAGGATTCAGATCGTGAAATTCAGGACTACTGAAGAGCCTCAATGTGAGGAAAAAGTTCTATTCTTTAGTTTATGTAACTTCTAATGTTTTCACAATGTCAAACAGTTATAAAAATCATTTTAACATAGACTAAGCTACTGTAAATCAGTACTTCAAACCCGAATCTTATTATACAGCTACGCCAACATTGAAGAAGTACCTACGTGCAGTTTTCATCCATTTTCTATGCTTTTCAATTTTTTTTTTACTACTAGCAAGCAGCTATTCGCATAGCAATGAAACATTTTGTAAGCTTGTTTGTTGTAATTATTTAGAATAAGCATTCTAAAAAAATGTTTACACATCATTATGCTGACGTTTTTCCTCATCAACACAACATCTACAGATCCGTTAAAAATTTGCACTATGAATGTTGTTGTCTATAGTGATGACATTTGTTATCGTTGTGATAATCTTTATTCTTTTATTACACGCATGTCGGTTATATATATATATATATATATATATATATATATATATATATATATATATATAATATGCACAGGTTTACGTTTTTGATGGCAATATCCACACCACATCGTCTAGTATAACAATAAACAGTACTTGCACAACCATTATCTCTACCTTGATCATTGGTATAGAAGTGCGTTTTCCGTTGAATTTTGATTGAACCCTTTCAAAAATATGAAGATCACTTTCTAATTTCTTCCAATTTTTTTCACAGTTGAGATCAATGAACGGTTTTGTATTCTACATATTCTCAACATTCGTCTATTGATTCTTACAGAACTACTATAACACTGACCTTTTATGAAAATATTTAGTTAGTCCCTACTTTTTATATATTATGCAACGTTGCAACTGTATGATTTTCCGAATAATTACTTTGATTATCATAATCCTCTTTCTTCCAATTACTTAATATAATTATTATGTAACTCAGCTACTCGATAAGTATTATTTCATTGTTGTAAATCATATATATATATATATATATATATATATATATATATATATATATATATATATATATATAATATTAGTATAGAGCCATGATGAGAAACTATTTGAAGAGAAATTTCTTCGTTCGATTCGTTCTTTTTACCAAATGTCAAGATGAGAATTTTCACTTTATTGAAATCGTATTTAGTTGATGAAATGAACATTAAGTAATTTCTTTCTTTCATCTTATAGGAAAATAAACTACAATCTTCAATTACTGCTTACTCTGTTTGGTTAAGTCAACTGAATGATAAGTTAATAAAACTTGCTAAACCAAATAATTTAACGTTGGATACAGTGAACAGTACGTGGAAAGAATTTAAGGTAGGCTCTTTTCTTTTTTTTTAGCAAATCAGTTAATTTTGTAAATTTATTGTGAATTTTCAAATACTCCGCCTCAAAATAGGTGGGGTTTTGTTCTCTGAGCTGAATGGTTTGGTCGTGGAGCTTTCATTGTTCTTCTAAAAAGCATCATCGGCACAAACTTCTATCAGCTTAGAGAACAAAACTTCACCCAAATCATCTACCTGAGCTACAAATCTTCTCTGCCATCCTACCTCAGTGCAATATTTTGATGTTGTATATTTAAACTTAAAATGTCTATCTGGGACCTCAGTGCTTGTGTCTGTTATATATATGATCACTACTAGTTAGCTGGTAATCAATAAACGTCTTTTATGTTGACCAAAATCTAAGTTAATCATATCACAACATAAATATTCATGATTACACTAGTACTGATAGTAGTTTGAATTTCTGACGGGGTAAAAGCTTCGTTTAGTTCCTATACCACTCAAATATTTCCAGTAATCTGTTTAGTACATGCATAAGGATAATTATTGTAGAATTAATACAATGAACTTTAACTAAAGATAATTTTACATTGTTAGACATTTAAACGTTGTCACTAATCTAGTCACTTAAAGTTCAAGTATAACTTAACATTTAGCCATAATAGTTTTTCCATCATTAAAAATGTGATTAATAAAGAATTTTCTTACACATAGTTCCCTTTATTATTTTAAATAGAGCAAGAACAAAGATTGGTGCAGAATAATATGAATTCATTTTATTTCGTTAGGTTCTCATCAGTTACTTACAACCTAAAACATTTAAAATTCAAAGTTATTATAGATATTGACATATTTATACATACGAGGGTGATGAGAGATGAATATAGGTATCATGATGTAGTGAAGATTCCGATAGAGTTATCGAGGTCATAAAAATCGTTTGTTTCGGATAAATAAAGATTGAGAGGGAAGGTTCCAGAACATTGAAATAGTGATTAGAACTCATGGAATTAAAAAACACGTTAGAAGTAACTGAAAATAGATTAATGGTAATAAAGTAAGATATGAATTGAAATCAGTCAGTTATGAATGACGTAATTTTAAAAATTCAGAAAGAATTGCAATAGTGAATGACGTAATAAATAAAAGGGGGGAGGGTCAATGTTACCAGGGCAAAGAAAGATTTATTACTGTTTCTTTTTGTATACATAGATCTGGTTTTACACGTTTGATTGCTATCCCTTCGGCAAATTTCAAAAGGTTTGTGTTTGATTGTTTGTTAATCATGTTGAACAACTTCAATGCATCAACTTCATGTCCTGTATCAAGGAATTTTCTGCATACGATATTATTCAGACCGACAACGAAAACTTTAAAAAGAATCCATCTAGCTCAGAGATTGTAACTTCATCAAAATTCCACACTTGTTCTAGTTCTCTACATAGTTTTATTATAGTTAAATAACTCAGTGTTTATATATAATTCCTATTTTATTTCTCCAATCCTTCCTTTTCACTTTTACCATTATTATTACTATTATTATTATTATTACTATTATCAACAAACAGGATTGGAATTTAAAATCACTCAATGAAAACAAATTACGTTTAAATAATTTAATAAAACAATTACCTAATTCAATATTCAATGATATTTTTAAACAAGACAAAACTTTATTCACAAATATTGAAGATTACATTTTCAATAATATGAATATATTCAATGAATTATATCATCAAAATTCATTATTATCATTAAGAAACAACAACAAGATTAAATCTCATTTAGAATTAACTATTCTACGTATATTAAGACAATATATAAAATTTCAGTTACAAAGTATGGAATCAATGAAATTATGGAAAGTTCATTTGAAATTTATAAAATACTTTATCATAAATAGAAAACAATTACAATTATTATTTAATGAAATTCATGGTAGTTTATCAAAACTTTATAGACCATCAAAATTAGTTGGATGTTGTACAGAACAATTAAATAGTGTAAAGGTAATGTTAAATACTTTTAATACAATTCAGTTTTATTTTAATATTACTTTATGGTGATTTATTTATCTGTAGGTTTGGCTAGTGAATGTTTCATATATCATATATTGTTAAACATTGTTAGAGTAAAGTAGTTGGAAGTAGGTAGTAAGAAACACTGTATCTAGGTTTCATGATAGTTAGTACTAGTTAGAAAGGTCAGCATGTGATTTTGATGGGAACCGATGCTCTCTATGGGATCGAAACCTTAGTCGCCAAGTTTCATAATACATCTTGGCAGCGACATCCGATTTAGCCCCTAAATGCCTTGGTATGGCCGAGAGTGGGGTGGGCTCGCCCTCCCTCTCGAAGTGCTCTCACACGGCCACGCGTATACAGCCTCGCCAGGGAAGTCCTACTCACTGCCTTCTCGTGGCGGGGGTGTTGCTTACGAAATTGAGAGGACGAAAAGCGAATGTCCGGTGCTTTAACTGGATTATAAACCAATGGTGCACATGGGCTACAGTATCCTGTGCGAAAAAATGGCGTATGAACCAATCGTTGGTCACCGGCTACCATGAGACTGCATCTCCTTACGATGCTCCACTGCCTTGTGGGTTAGACCATTAGCTCAAAGGCTCGGAGTGTGACCCCCTAAGATAACCACCTGCCTCGGTCTGGGCATCCGGGCAGTATCACAGCCCTCACACAAACCGAATGGTTTATGTGGCGCATATCTATTTGGTGCCTCCTTGTACCAAAGTTTATGTGTTTAAATAAATTAAATAAATAAATAAACAATTCAGTTTTATTTTAACGTTGCTTTATAGTGATTTATTTTTGCTTATGTATAAATATCTGTAGGTTTGGCTAGTGAATGTTTCATATATCATATATTGTTAAACATTGTTAGAGTAAAGTAGTTGGAAGTAGGTAGTAAGAAACACTGTATCTAGGTTTCATGATAGTTAGTACTAGTTAGAAAGGTCAACATGTGATTTTAATGGGAACCGATGCTCTCGGTGGGATCGAAACCTTAGTTGCCAAGTTTCATAATCTGATACTTCATTGTTGAGCTTTTTGATTTTGAACTGACCTCTTATAGGAATGAGATATTTCCCATTAATTGACAATTGAGTAGTGACCAATATTTAATCCTTTTTAGTGTTGATCTTATTCCATCGGTCAGACAGGTATGTGTTCACCGGTCTCAGTGGCTCGAAATCTCATGCACTATATTGAGTTGTCAGGTATTTGAAGATTGAATTCTCTAGTCTTCTCTGATATTGAAATTCGGACTTATACCAATCAAGATGCTATCTTGAAGAATGAACTTTACTCCACTATAAAAGGTTTTGTAGGCATCAATGCCTAGGTTGGACTTGATAGTTTCATATAAACTGAGTATTTGTTAGAGAGTTAATAATGAATTTTTTTGTAACGTCCTAATGAGTAGAAAATTGTATTTCTGACATTTTGTGACTTATAAATAACCGACTTAAATTAACACAAGTTGAAGTAGTACATAGGAACTATGTAAATCTATGTTAATTTTCTTTTGGTTATTTATTTACTCCGACGAAGTGGTCTACACCAAGCCAAGGAACGTCAGAAATACAATTTTCTACTCAAATCACAACAAAAAAGTATATATTTATTTCAATAGTTGAAATCATGAGTCAGTTGAACCTAGACCACTATAAACGGATTTAAATATATACACGAATTAATTTAAAGCAAGAAATGATATTTACATAATGTTCCGTTTACTCATGGACACATTGATTGTTCCTGTGGCGGAGTAATTCACCTTTAATATTGTTATTAATCTATTTTAATTATTACAGATACATATATTTACGGTTTATTGGAAATTGATTTTACTTCTAATAACACTAATACTAGTTGTTTTATAATGCTTTATTTTTGTAGAATGCTATTCACCAACTGAAAACACATGAAAGATTAGCAATTAATCTTTATAATTCTCTACCATTAATCAAATCTCTATGTCATCCTATAGAAGTATCACAAACAGTAGCCACTATTAATACAATGAAACACAATTTTACAAGTCTCATGCGTCGAGCAATAGAACGGCGAAAAATTCTTACTCAAGCATTGAAAGAAGATACTAAGGTAAGTAACTTGTGACTATAAACGTATATTAAAATCACCTATACTAGGTAATTGTATAAACCGTAGGGTAGTTGAATAGGATTGAGGCTTACGATTTACTGCTTGACAGTTTTCTCTAGGCCGATAAACCATACATTTCACGTTATGGTCATGAATTAATTTAAAATTGTGTTGTTTAGTTTTTTAACCATGATTATGTCTTTAAAGCTGTTGCGAACACTGCTGTGTTAAGATCACAAAACTAGGAATTAAAATCGATAGTGATAACTATTATGTAACCTTTATTAATATTAAAAGAGTAATTTTATTTCGATAGAGCAATGTTCACTGAAGTCTCCAGTTATACAGAGATTACAGTAGCAATAGGAAATATTTTTTTGGTACATACTTTTAAACTGCCATTTCTTGTCTGTAAAATATATGTTCTAGTTTTTTGATACGGCGCTACTGCGGTTTTGAAAACGTCTGAATCACTGTATGATTCAAGCCAAAAGTTTTTAATAATTAGTATTTATCTACTGATGAGATAACATGTTTGTACCTATGACAAACAAAACAGTAGCTTATTGTTACATTGTTCATAATGGTTTGTAAAGCAATGTTCATACATTTTCCAAACCTTTTACAGATTTGTACGATTGTTTTCTGCACGATAACTTTCCACTCAAAACCATCCCTTTCCGATATACTAAAAGTTACTTGATCATTGTATTTGTGAAAAAGTTTTCTTATAATCTCTTTTATTTTACATGTGTTTTTAAAAACATTTTCAGTTTGATGTAGCGTATTATAGTTTATTAAACTGGTTCTTAACCAAACTGGAGATACTTGAGGCCTTTGAAACACGTACAGTATATGATGAAAACAGTCAGTTGACACTTAAAACTTTGGTAAGTTTAATATCAATTTACTAGTTGTCTTACGATTATTCAGGAACTGAAATGTAATATAATCTTTAGCTTTCTAGAAAATTTAGGACACACCCTCATCTAATAGGACAATAGTTTTGTTTTCCCATAGATCTATCATTTTTCATTCGGATTATGTAAGATGAATGCGGAAGCTATAGCAGCTTTTCTACAATCAATTTCGATTGTGGTTAAATTTTGTTAAACCCTTTTATTTATTTACTTAACAGACAATGTTATTCGAACAGTAACAATCCGCATATTTCTTTGTACTATTATGATCACCGTCTTGTCTGTATAAACGTATACTCTTGATCGTATGACAGCCTAAGCACATATCCATCTAGCTTAAGTGTTAATAGCTTAAATATCGCTCGATGAATCATTCTCTTGCCCATGTATATATGTACTCGAATCTTATTATTGAAAAGGATTGTTATGATGGTGGCAATTTATGAGGATATGCTTCATTGATATTTCCGTATAGTGTTGAGAAGTGTCTTTTTTGTTCAGTTATTTAAACTGAACAAGTTTGTGATTAAAATATGTGTTTAGATTTAAAAATATCTCGAACTGTTTATCTGAATAAGTAACAAAAATTTCCATTTATTACGATTGTGACTGACGATAATAGAAGAGTAAATACCATTAAGATTTCTTCATTCAAATGATTTATAAATAACAAACGAATTAATTTTGACTAAGACACTTTTTTATTATTATTATCATTAGCTTTATTCAGTATTATATTTTTGGTACAATATAGAATTCTCAGCACAAAGTATTTCAACAAGCTTCCGTTTCTTTCTTCTTGGTCGGTCCTGGCGATAAATATTGAGTGATCGCCAGTTACATGTTAGCAGTTCACTAATTGAACATCTGAATAATGTACATTCTTTTCGTTGTACATTGCCAGCGACCACATTATCTCTTATTGAGTTTTTTGTAACTTTGACAACGAAAGGTTGTACACTTTTCAGAAACGTAGCAGAATAGGTTATGCGATTAATAAACATAATGATATATTAAAACAAACAAAAATAGATGACTTGTTGAAATATCTAGGTGGTAGGAACAGGTAGCCTAGATGCTCAAGCAAGCCGCCCTTTATAGTCTACATTTTCATAGTATCATAACTCAACAGGAATGTTGTCCACTTATTCTTTGTGGGTTATGAAAATGATATATAAGCTGTTAATCCTATAGTAATTTTCACTGAGACAGATACTATCTGATTACATTTAGAAAATAAGTCTCATTTCTTTAACATAATCTTTAACAAATTTCATTCATTTACTAAAACGTAACTAATCTCTCATTGTCCTCAGAACTGATACATTCCATTTGATCAATTTCGTATTATATCTATTGAGTAAGATAAAATAAACATATGTCATGTTTGACACAGTTGTTCTTTATTTCTTACAACTGATCTGATCCTACTAAAGATTATTTTGTTACCCGTCCACTTCATTAATAACATAAACGACTACTATACTAAATGATACCAATCTGAGTAATTTACATACAGACCTACAAAGAATAGTCTTATTCATTATTGAATGTCAACAACAAAAAAGTCAACCTTATGAGTAACAGACTTGTTAGAAACGAAACTAAATGGATAATAAAAATATTATTATATAATTCAATTTATAAATTCTAGTTAGTATAAAGAATGTAACTGTTTTTATCGACTCCAAATTGAATAAATAATATAGAGGTGAATGATGAACTCCAACTTCTGAAAATAAAACTTATCGTTGTTTATTTAATGATCATATGCATGAAAGTGAGACCCCATGGTGTTGTGGCATGAAAAAAAGCTGCAAAGGGCTGGCTTCTGTTGCTCCTTCACGACTCCCTGGTTGGGGTCCGAGAGATGGTGCTACACAGTGGCTAGAGACGTTATCAGATATAGCTCAGACTAGAAGCCAGTGGCGATCCTGCTGTAACCTTCTTTAACTTTCTTCGTAAAAAGTGGTTGTTTCTTCCTTAACTGAAAGATTTCTTCTGATTGTACCTTTCCGTTCCCCCATTATTACTATCATTATTATTACACTACCCTACACCAATCTCTTTGTTATCGTTCTTTTTTCACGCTCCTTACCTTTTTTCTTTTTCCTTCTCTTTAAATTCTCATTGTCTTGTGTGGCGCATATATATTTGGCGCACTCTTGTACCAATATTTATGTGTTCAAATAAATAAATAAATAAATAGCTTTATTGCATAAGAAAATAAGCATCAACAAACTGTAATACGGATAAAACCGGTTTGGATTTCCACTAAACACCAATCCAAAATGTTCTAAAATATACTAACTCATCGTTTCATATGTAACTTAGTATCACCGAAACTATATTCTATGTGTTTAACTTGATACATATGCGTAAATACTACACATAGCTAATAGCTTGAAAATATTTATTAGCAATTTCATTCCTAACTTTTTTATTTAACATATTTTCATAGCATAGAGAATTTCATGAACAACAATCGGATTATCATTTGGTGATGAGAATGGGCAGTAATCTACGTGAACGTTGTACATGTACAGATCCAGAAAAGAATATTCTAAATGAGATGCTTGAAAAACTTCAACTTGTCAAAGGAAATTATGGGAAACGTCTGTCGAAGTGGTAAGAATCAACTTAACAATCACCGTCTATTATGTATATTCGTATTTTACGATGCATTTTGTACTTGAACATTTAAAAAATGACTTTCTGTGTCCTAGTTTTTAACTTTCAAAATTTGAGCATAAATTAAGAGAAAATGTAGTGTGAAAACAGTTTTAATTCGAAGGTTTTTTTAATGTAGACAAAACTATATGTGTTTACATGTGACGTTGACATTTTAAAAGTCTTTAAAAGTCAGCCAAATCTAATTATGAAGTTGGTAAGTATCCAGTTAAGATATGAAAAAATCAACCGTTCTTTAAAATTCTCTTGAGAGGTTCTAAAGAACCCTGACTAGACAAAATATACTGAATATTCTTTCAGCGTCTGAAACCCTTTTCAAGAAAATGCTGAAGGCTCCCAATATTTCCATAGTTTGAAATATGTTACGTATTTTGCTTTGGAAAGTACCAATGCATTATTATAATTTTGATTAACGTAGAGCCTTTTATACGCTAAACCATCTAAGGTCACAACTACATCATGATCAATGATGGAACTGTTGACAAGCCTATCTCTAGTGAATTGTACTATGATTCATTAAAGGAAAGTTTATTGCGGCTTCATACTCAGTATAATTGTAATTCCTTTTAGTGCATAGTTATATTAAAGATGGAATAAATGTCCACTTTAATTATATCATATATATAACTGATATGATGTATGGTATTTATTATTAATCAAATGTTATGTAACGATGTCGTGAAGATTATGCTCACTTAGAAATTATTCTTTATCACAAACTGACATGAGTTAAAGAAGCATTGAATATTGAAGGTTATTGGTTAGCTATTTGAAGCATACTAATAACCTCACACTTAATTAAACTTAAGGCGGTTAATATTTGTGCATACAGACGCATCAGCTCATCTGTCTCCATGTTAGAAGTATTACATGTAGGAGAATCTGAAAACGCGATGAGTTCACATGAAAAAGGATTGATGTCTGAATTACACAGTTAGTTGTAAAATGATCGAATGTTTTTGTGATTGGAGGATAATAAAGGATTATTTAATTCATAATTCTGGGGTCTTTTAAACACATGGTGTTTACCTGTAATCTGTTAGCTGAGTACCTTATGCAGTAATAAAGTTCACGTGAAGAATTTTGTCGAGATCAAAAAAGAGCTATTATTGATTTTTATCTGTATTAATTTTAAGAACTTGTACTTTTTTAATCTAAGCATTAAATTATTACCAGTATAGGGTTGTGGAGATTGTTGAGTTTAGATTGATACCATGAATCGATCAATGTTAGACCACCATTGAAAGCCTGGAAGCACTTAACGACCGTTTCGCTCTTGTATGGGAATCCTCAGCAATGAGAAAAAATTAACCTATCATATAGTTTCTTAAAACCATTTCATTAGTTTAAATTCTTCAGAGTTCTCTTCACAATAGTCTTATTTAACCGATTGGAACTTCAAGTTTTATATACTATCCAGACAGCTAGTTCAATATTAATATCCCTATATCAACCTCAATTTCTTCCTTTCACATCTTTATCATTATTATTATTATCATTACAGTGAGTTCAACTAATCCATCTTTATACGACCCCATCATATTAGTAGTAAATGTCTCAAGTATATGGGTAAGAGAAAATTTCAATCCAGTAGAATATTGTGTTGTATAAGTGAATATCATATGAATATTTATTTATTTTCAGAAAAGGTTTTGTGAATATTATAGTAATTTCAAAAGCTGAGATCATGAGTTAATTGAAACTAGACCACCATAGAAAACCTGGAAACACTGGACGGCTGTTTCGTCCTATTGTGGGACTGCTCAGCAGTGCGCATCCACGAGGAGTCCCATAACAGAATGAAACGGCCGTCTAGTACTTCCAGGTTTTCTATGGTGGTCTATTTTCAATTAACTCATGATCTCAACTATTGAAATTTATTTATTTTGTATTTGTGTTAATTGAATGTGAATTTTTGTTTGTTTGTTTGTTTGTTTAATTACTGCATCTAATTCTCTTTGTTTATTTATTTGTTCTTCCCTAAAATTTTATATGTGACAGGTTATTTTTGTATTATTATCTCACGGTTCTTTTCATAAACATGCATGTTACATAAATAAAATTAGTCGTTTACACATGTATATTTATGCACGAGATGTAGATAAACTGTGAAAAAAAAAACAACTAAAAATTTCTTAGTTTATTAACAAATGAACACTTTTGTATACTCAGAAAACAAACAAACAGACACACATTGTATCGTATTTATTTTTTTTTTTACTGTTTACAAGTTGGTCGAAACCAATTTCCATGATTCATGTATTTAAAGTTGTTGTTTTTTCTTATCAAAAAAAAACTAACTTAATAATTATTGAAAACAGTTGAGCATTGATAAAGTCCAATATAGTTTTTGAGCATGAGATGGATATTATTGATCTTAATTGATAATCGAATATATCACAAACTGAATGCTGTTAAAAAAATGTGAATGATTAGATACTAATTTATTTATATATACTTAATGCGGTCGCCATGATTTTTGACTTTCCTGGTGTTGTGATGAGTTATTTCTGAAGAGATCAAGTCTCGTATTCGGATGTAAAAGTTATTCAAATCTTTCTGATTTCTATCCGTATGGGGTTTTGGAGATTGTTGAGTTTTTGGTTGAGATCGTGAATCGATCAATTTTGTTATTTTTTAAGCATGTAAATTTTACCTTGCCAATGACCATTTTGAGTCCCTCTCCACCATTTTTATGTTTAGACACCTAGGTCATATCAGCTGTTTGCGCACACTAAGTAGGTTCAGCTCAAAGTATATCGTATGGCTGATAAGTTATGCTATTGGTACATACTTTGTTAAATAAATGAATTTATGATTAACACTTTACTCCCTATTATTAATTTAAACTAGTAATTAGACAGCGTTTAGACTACACAATGCGAAGCAAATACAATGTAGTTTAATTTTTGCTCTGTAATAACTCTTCCATTACGTTCTTTATTAAAAGGAATTCCTTAATAAATAATATGTTGAATGAACCCTGAAAAATTTTGGTTAAGAATAATTAGAGTCAAATTACTGAAAACTCTCTCAGTTTTTCGCTTACGTATTGTTCATAAGCTTATTAGTGTCAACGTGTTGTTCTACTGACTATTAATTGATAAGCTAGAGGAATATTTTAATTAAATTTGATTCGTGCTCCTGAATGATTTAAATGATCCGACCGAACAATTCATTTGACAGTTTTGGACCAATCATCGCTTGTGGTGGAGAATGTTCAGCTTGTAGTTAGATTTCATCATGAACTGAAATCATTTGTAGAGGGATCGTTGAAAACTAGGACACATTGAACGGTTATTTCATCCTAGTCTGAAACTCCATTAAATAAAAACGTCCAGACATCGGTCAACTGTTGTCACTCAGTACTTTTTCAGATACACATAATTGAAGATTTTATCGGAAAGCCATCTTTATTCATTATACACTCATTGTTATCCATTTGTGTCAATTCATTTGATTACAACAAAAATAGTGAAACTTTGTCAGAAAATGAAATTAATATATTCTCTATATGTACTATTTAACTGATATGATATCCATTATGATGGATTTGATATAGTTAACTTATCTAACTTTTTCGTTGATTATTCAAGACAATTCTCATTCTGTCGACATGTATACTTCCACTTGTTTTCAGAAATTCGTACTAAATATTTTTCTTAGATTTATATACTAAGTTTTCATTTTAATAAGTAGTAATTGTGATATAAGTCGGTCTATATCCTAGATGAAGACTTCAAATGACTTAATTTCTTTGATAATAAATCAGCTAAATTAACATCCTGTACAGATTGTAAGAGTTTGTCCTATTGTTAGTGTTCGGAATTGAACTTAAACAATCTGTACTCGTATTTTCTCTCATTCAACGTATGGTTCTATATCGCTTGCATATTTTAAAGTGATTTTATTTTGGACACCGACAGGTGATGGAATCTTCCAGGACACGCATTTTACCCTGTTCAAATAAATACCTCGCTCATTCAGCATATTGGTAGCTGTCATGACTCCATAGCCCAGTGGATAATTGGCTAACATTTGACGCGACACGTATTTGGTTTGTCTCTTATTGTGAAAATCAACGCTAAGATGCAGATAAATTTAGCCATGATAAGTTCCTGAATAGGATGAAACGCTTACTTCTTGAAGCCTAGTGGTCACTAATACCTGAAATTCATATGTTTTATATCTTTATTCTGAATTGAATACTTGTAATAAATAAAGAATATATCTTCGAGATAAAATTTTCACAACCTATGGTTTATGAATTGTGTTGAAGGAAAGTCACCGATATATAATTCGGAAATGAGATATGCTCTTTTGTATTCATTCTGTGTTAACTAAAGGAATGATGCATATTTTGAAGGCTTATTTGGGCAATTTGTTTATGATATTCTCGTATTGAAAAAGCGTCATTTTATTTTGTCTCTCCCATTAATAGTTGTCTATATATTTACTGTGTTTTATGTTTACCTTTCATAGTCAAATTCAACTTAGTGAAATGTTAATTACAAAACGGAATCCTAAATCCGCTCTATCTCGCTTAAATGAATGGCTACAAATGATCGAAGAACATTTAGGCATTGAAAATACTCTTAACATTAAACATACTACTAATACTGATACCACTAGTGTCAGTAGTTCTATTAAACCACCAGGAAATGATCAAAGTGAAACTGACAATTCAAATCACTTATTATCAACTAATGTTACAGGATTGTTGGATAATTTAGCTAATCCAGCTCAGTACACGATGACTATTTTCAACCCTAAAGAGTATGAAAACATTGCTTCTGTTTTGGGTGATATAATTTTCGTTCAATCATTAAATTCAAATCATTTGGTAAGTACACTTGGTATTGTTTGTTCGAATCCTCTCATTGATGTTTAGGACTGTAATTGATCAGCCTCTTATTACCATATGTGCATACTGTACGGATTTCATCTATATAGCCTTAGCTCACAAGCATTATATGCAAAGATGGATAAGTAGTAAGTGGTAAGTAGTAGTATCGAAATATGGAATTAATTAAAAGAATTCATTTAACTATCAAATAATAACTCTTCTGCAAAAACAAAAACTATGAAACTTGGATTGAATGTAAATATAAAATTTAATATGCTCAGTAGTATTTTACTTTAATTTCATGAATTTGTTTAAAGGTTGAGTAATTTTTACAATATCGCCACGTTGTTGAAAGTGAAATAAAAAATAGTCCAATTTCTTTTACTGGAAGCTCATCTGATCCAACGTTTAGTTGTGGTCCATCAAGAAATCTCTCTCGTTTATTATTCAATTATTTTCCTTCCTAATAACATTTTCGTTACAATTCATGTAATATGAGAATACAAAAAACTTGAGATGCATAATTCTTGCAATATTTATTTGATCAGAACAACAAAATAAATAGTTAAGTCATCCAGAAGAAATAGACTTTTAATTAATCCAAAAGAAGAGTTTATTTGCAAATGAATCATCAGTATTATCAATGGGTAGTTTTACAATAATCTTATCAAAAACATCATTGTATAGCTAAAACATTTTTTTAGCTAAATAGAAATATTCATACCATTTGCTGACCAAAAATATTGTTATATAATCCATTTTTCAAATGATGGTCGGTCCGCTTCATATAGTCACTGGTCATTAGGAATATAACAGAAATATGTGATAGTTAATGACGATTTTTAAGTGACAACACTTATGATCAATTGTTTCAACGTAATTTGCACAAATCTCTAGACGTCAAAGGGTATTCACTTGGTATTGTTTGGCTTATATCTTCCCATTGAGTTTTTTTTACAAGACAAACAATACCAAGTGAATTTAAATTCATCCCATTGTACAAGCAAGTGGCTATCAGGACTCAGTAGCTGAGTGAATAACGCGATGGCGTTTGAAGCGAATGGTACTGGGTTCGAGTCCCGAAGTGAACATCAATTCTGAGATGCAGGTACATCCGGCTGACGAGTCCCAAATAGGACGAAACGCGCGTCCTCGATTACACTGCTAGCCACTATCCATCATTGTTAAATAGTATTATTCCATTTGAACTTTATATTGATAAAGTTGTATTATACTAATAGAAACGGATATCGTGTTGTTATGGTTTCATCGTTGACTAATCTCAACTGATCGAGATTGTAGTGCGTTCACTACTTTAAATAACTATTTATTTAAACGAAAATTTGTAGATCATTTATTGTTTGTCTAGTTAACTAATTATTTACTTTTCGGATTATATCAATTAGGTATCATCTGAATGCATATAATTATACTAGTTGTTTTTATTTATTCAAAATATGGTTTTATGTTAAATTTAAACAAACTTAAAATATATGTTCAATACTCTTTGTCAATACTGTTTATGTGCTACTGATTGGACATTACTGATACAAATCTTAAAGAAGGTACTTTGTTTAAAACGTACTTTTTTTAGTTATTATTACTAGAATTTTAACAAAGAGTTTGGAGTTATTATTCAGCTATCGAAAACATCTACTTCGCATATTGTTTATATCCGTCAAATGAAAAGCGATCACTAGTTTGCAGGTAAATTTAGCTGACCAGTCCTAAACAGGACCAAATACACATCCTGGATCGTACTGCTGTACACAATAACACATTAACACTGTTGAATGCCGGCTCAGTGGTCTAAAGGTGTTAAACGTTTGCGCGCGAGACTTGAAAGCCCTGGGTTCAAATCTCATGAGCCGGAGCGTAGATGCACACTGCTGAGGAGTCCTACCATAGGGCAAAACAACCGTTCAGTGCTTTCAAGTTTTCAATGGTTGTCTACCATCAATTGGTTCATGATCTCAATTAAAAACTCAATAATCTCCACAACTTTTATGCTAACAAAATAACTATATTGAGGCAATCGACTTATGATACATTTGTGACAATAGAGATTGATCAGTTGTAATTGCGAATATCAACATCCGGAAATTGCTAAGCCTTAAAAAATATTCAAAAACGAAGAATATTTGAGCGAACAATTGTTTTCAATAACTTCATCATCAGGCTCTACAGTTATAAGTCCATAATTATAATATTTTACAAAGGCCAAAAATAAGGCATGTTTTAATGAGTTTGACAATGTTATGTGTTAAAAATGGTGAACATTTGCATCTGTTACGATATATATATATACTTCAAAAAGAAAAAATTGTAATATTTGCAAATTAGAAAGGTCATTCAATAAAGGTCAGTAAATTGTTCAGTCACAATAAGATAATAGTACTATATGCAGGGAGTCTTCTTTTAAGAAATTTAAAACAATTAGTCCCTTTGATAAATTTCGATAATGATATTAGAAGACGAAGATTATCAGAACCATCATCCTCTATTGCTAAACATATAATTGAAACAGGTCACAAGAATGATCTAAATTCAGCTTTTGTAGTGCTGTATAAGGGCGTATAAGGGCGTATACTAAGGTTTATTGAAGCCTTAGCCATTCGAAAATTCAAACCCCCTTTATGTGTTCAAAAAACAGTTTGTTCTTACCTTAAACCTACCCTGGTAATATTGACTTATTATCCAGAGTGATTAGGTTTCGCTTTGTGTTCACATTATTATTATTATTACTCTTATCATTATCCTTATCTCCTCTTACCCCGTTTCCTGTCTAGTTGACCTTTTATTTTTTATATATAAATGCTCTTAACACGTAAATGTGTGACCAGATTGTTCGAGATGTATTGCGCTAATATATCACATAGTTCTGATCATCTTCGTCTGCTGAGGAGTCCCATACTAGGATGAAACGGCCGTCCAGTGCTTCCAGGTTTTCAATGGTGGTTTAGCTTCAACTGACTCATGATTTCAATCTGTGAAATTTCTAATATCATTATCAAAATAGTACTATAGCAAAATTGAAAATGTAAAAAAAAAATAATTTTGTCAACTGAGATAATAATAATATTTCTGTGTGAATATAATATGTATTAAGGGGGGGGGGTGTTATCAAGGTAATTTACGGTCAACAAATTGGGAATGATGGATATGAAGATTAAGATATAGATAATGACAAATAATGATAATAAGGAAAATAAATAAAAATAAAGGAAGGGTTAGAGGTTTATAATATTCAGTCTAGGTATTCGGTGATCCAGTGCTATAGTACTATTATCTTATTGTGACTGAACAATTTACTGACCTTTATTGAATGACCTTTCTAATTTGCAAATATTACAATTTTTCGAAGTATATATATATATATACCGTAACAGATGCAAACGTTCACCATTTTTAAGAATTGTTCGCTCAAATATTCTTCGTTTTTGAATATTCTATGTGGATTTTAAAACTGTCTTACAAAGCAGTTCTAAAGATTTATTTTCTCATTTATATTCTTGTTCTAATCACGATTTACTTTGATTATTTTTCTTCAAATAAAACAACAACACAAAATGAAAGATCTTAGCTGAAGATTTACGAGAACATGAAAAATTATATCAGATACTTGTAGAAAATGATCACAACAATAATGATGAGTTCAATAAACTTACATATCGTTTTATACGATTAAAACAAGCGTTCAATCTACGTGAAAAATGTCTTCAAGTAAGTAGTATAAAATGTTTTCTAGTGTTGTTTTCTATAATTAAAAATAAATGAACACATGGAAATCTTTCCCTACGGTTATTACCTAAATTCAATCATGATGTATATATAGTCGTGATCAATATTCATAAACTTATTATTCTGTATATTCTGAATAACAATAAATATAATTAAACTGACTTATGGAATATTAACTTATATCATTGAGCAATAATGATACACACAGAATGTAGTGAGATTCAGATGACAAACTATTTGGTAATTTTAAGAGATCTACTGTTTCAAGAAATGGCTTCAATCCATACAATAATTATTGATTTAATTCTAACTAGGAAACTGCTGGTTGAGTTATGAGAACTGAACAATTCGGATTATAATAAGTGAAATCGTTTTTGTTTTCATTTCCTTGTGAATGTCGATAGTGTATAAGTAACTTGAAGGGCTTGTTCATAATGGTTGATTAATGGGAAGATAATTCTTACGGTGGAGTGACTGTTTATACAAATACTGAAAGCCAGAGATTTTTAGTCAACTGCTTCCTCTTGTAAACGGTCTCTTCGGAGCTATGCCAAAGTGCACAAAACTTAGTGAAAAGCCATGACTGGTAGAATTCAGTCATCTCAGGACTAGGAAAGTTATCCTTGATAGTAATGAATAAATGTTGCGCAGTATCATGAATTGGCTGAACTTAATAGTATGAACAACTGGATAATAATTCAGTATTCTGAAGACTAAAATCTCAAGGCGAAGACTGCGTCATCCTGTGTTCCATCATTGATGGAATCCTATCTAAGAATTAAACAACTAGTTATCTTATTTCTGGTTATTTAGCTAAGTATCTACCTGTAATGTAATATACCTTCAAACTACTATTATAATTTTAGCTAACCGTTAGACCTGATCCCCTCCTTTCCAAATAATGTTTACAAATATTCTTCCTTTTCTCTATGTACATTTTAGATCGCTGCCGATGCTGCCTTAGAACTAAATAAGAACTATTCGAATTTAATTAGTTGGTTATTAGAAGTAACCAATAAATTGAATAATAACGAAATTGAACTTGCTTACGTTACTAAAAATAAGGAAACTGTCTTACAAAAACAAACATTGTTTTTCCACTCCGCTGATCAATACAAAATTAGATTGAATATGTACGCAAAAATACATCATCAACAAATTCACATATATCGACCAATATTTAATCACTTTGAAATTGTATTAAAACGTGTACTTGCTAAACCACAAGTAGATAAACATGAAGAACAGAATGTTTCTGTTTACTGTTACTCGAAATGTCGAAGGCAATTCATTATTCAATATAAACAAATTGTGAATTTATGGCATAAAGTAAGTTCTTCCTTACTGCTTTCAACATGAAGTATTAAATAATGGTTGGTAGTATACTTAGAATGATTGTAAAATAAGTAAGGGAACTTTTGTCAGTTGATCAATCACTTAACTGCAAAACTTTTGACTGTCGGTTTGGGGTGTATCAGGAAGTATACGGTGTAAACCTTATCAAAAATTAAAGAATTTATATAATATCCTACAGAATCGATCTCAATGCTATCGTCCTTTAAAATTATAAGTTTCAGCACTATCTTATTCTTCTTTCGGCTTACTACAGCGATAATGTGCTACAAGTTAGATCGTTACATATTTGTATCAAGTTGAGTCATTTGTTTATGATTGACTTGTGACATTATTATCAGTCACTTAATCATCATCAACATAAACCCTGACACAGTTGTAAATGAGCACAAGCTACGATAGTGCAGTTAGTACGACGAAATAAATCTGGAAGAAAATAATGGGTTAGTGGATTTGCTCGATTATGAATGATTTTTAGTTGTGCCAATGATTTCAGTTTACAAAATTTATCAGGATACGTACATTCGATTTTCAATATTCATTTTCATCCAAACATATACAATAAAATAATATTAATTTAATATTTGTTACCAATTAATAACTTACTGAAATTAGGACATTACTCACATTACTCTTCATTTGTGCAACACGACATGTAAAAGTCGAAGAAATAAGTAAGACTCAACCATTTGATCACAAATATCACCAGACCAACAATTTCAAAGTTTTATGTTTGTATCTTGTGTAATAGTTGATTTCAATATCAAATCATCTTAACTGTTATAAGTATGATGTAATTCAAAGTTTGAAATGAAACTTTGAAAGCATGCAACTAGAAGTTCATTCTGTGATTATTTTATATAAAACTCATTGTTCTTATTACATATATTTTACGTTAAAATGACTAAAATTATAGTTGATAATACAAATAATTAACTGTGGTATGCATCAGTCAGCTACAACGTAGGACCAGGCACATGTATGCATCGGCCCAGGTTGCCATACCTCATTAGCACAGCAAGATGAACACCGGATTCATAGGAGTCGTTAGGTCAAAGGTGGTAATATATAGGAGAAAGATTGCAATAAGGATATAGTATAGGAAGAAAGAATTAGTTCGTAGAAAGAAAGATGTGAAGTGATCTTAATCTCCTAGTTTAAGAGAAGACAGAGAGTGTATACACCGACGCCATTGTGATCGATTCTGAGCCATGTCACCAAGGGTCTCCAACCATTGGTTACGAAAGTCACGCGGACCCCAACCAAGTAGTCTGCATCTACCAACATGGCTCAGACTAGAAGTTAGTGACTGTGGTATGCAAAGTTTATCAAAGTAATCAAGTACTGTGGTGTCGGTTACTATGTTAAGCCCATATGCCTTATTCTAGCTTTCGGACAAACCAACCTGTTCATTCTACTTGAGTCACATTTTGACCTTGTTAATTATTCGCTTATCAGTCTTGACTGTTTTTATATGAGTGCGGTAGGTGTTTGTACACTTCTTATCCCATTACTCACACATGTTTGTAACCTATTTTTGTGTGATTATACATATTGATTAATGCTTGGTTGAATGGGTGTTGGCTTACTAGCCATCTCCACTACGCATCCATTCGCTTCATTTACAAAATATATGTATTCAAAAGTCCATTCTCGTTATTTGACTTATTTAATTCCGTCATTGACTAACGCGATTTAAGTCGATGATTATATACGAGGATAGGCGACAAATATATTTCGACAACGATCATTCGTGCGATCAAATTGGAGTTAGATCTCGGGCCACTAAAGTGGAGAGCCCGTCAACAAACATCATCCAATCTAAATGAAGACAAAATAAAGGGTCCCATTAAAGTACAATATTGTTCTTTTTTACTTAGTATTGTGGTTCGTGCTACTTATATTGATATAAGTAGTATATGACGCGGGTTAAAGAACTTAATGTCTTGCAGCAGAAGATGGGGTAATATCAAGAAAGGAAGAGCGGGAACACGATGCAATTTGTAAAAAAACGTATGAACAATGAAATGTGAGACAATGGATTGATGTTTGCAACAAGAACAGTCCAGATTGATATGATGGATTGATATTTTGCAAATTAACGATTTATTATATGGTTTTTCCATTTTACCAAGTAACTCTGTAATTTTATGTTAAATACAATTCGGTTGTCCCCACCTGCGTTCTTCTTCACTACAGTATTACTATTGTGTTGTAGCTATTATTTACCAGTTATTTGATAAAACAACTAACTACACATGGTGATAAATTTAACATTATCAGTCTATTTTATTCTATGCTCTATGTTCTCAACTATTCATATTGTTGTATATTAGCAGTTCTAATAATCTAATCATTAGAATTCTTAATTATCACCTTATTCAATTAACATGTATGTGTTTATAATTGAAACAAAGGAATCAAAACTGTATCAGGTTATGAAGATTATTTGTGATTATTTTCAAATAATATCCTGTAAATTATAAATAACTATTTAATAAACAAATAAGAAATAACACTTAGATGGTGGCTGGAGGTAGTCGATAGGGAACATTGGACCCGGGTTTCGTGCTACTTGGCACTCGTCAGCAAGGTGTACCCGTAATCTTGAGGGAACTGGTGCTCCCTGGCGGATTCGGTCTTGTGTCACCCAGCTTCACAGTCAGAGACGTCACCACTGAGCTATCTGAGCCGCGACCGACCTCCTGTAGAAATAATACTTGTTTATCAGAATGGGTTTTGTGGAGATTTTAGAAATTTCACAGGTTGAAATCATGAGTCGATTGAAGCTAGACCACCATGGAAAACCTGGAAGTACTGGACGGCCGTTTCGTCCTAGGTTTTCCATGGTGGTCTAACTTTAATGAACTCATGATTTCAATCAGTGAAATTTCTAAAATCTCCACAAAACCCATTCTGATATATATGTATATATACCAGGCTCTATACTAATTATGACTAACTATCTAACTCTCAAATAATCTTTTGTTGCTCTACTAAACCTTTGTTGTTATTATCTAATTAATCGACATGATTCAAGTCTACCTATTTCAGTAGGTTCAGTTCGATGGATTTTTAAAAACAAACTATATCTTAAAAATATCAGTGTTTGCTTATGTAGATGATGAAAGTGGGTATTGGTTGGTGTACTGTATAAAAGTAAATGTGACAAACGTTTATTTCTTAAGTCAAATTACTTTATAATGACAAAAATAATTCAAAATAGCCTAAAGTAAATTGAAATTCGTTGTAGGATTGGTAAAGTGAAATTTAAAGAAAACTTGTGTTGTTTCATTAGTTGAATTAACCGCTTCTATCATTTACATTTTTAACCTGTGAGAAATGGTTACTGACAGCTCACTAAAATCTCCCGTCTAGAAAATGTTAAAATTAAGTAGAATCATTTTTATAAACAAAGATGGATAGTGGCTCATAATGCTTGTAAATTAAGGCAGTATCGAGGCAATACACAGAGTACGCATATATGCCAATAACAGACTGATCAATTGCATTCCTAAACATCAATGGGAAGATTCAAGTAAACCAATACCAAGTGAATTAGAATCATGTTTGTTTCAATTTATTTTGTCAAGTCGATAAAAAGATATTCAGTGTACAAAATAAATGTATTTCATTGTACTACAAAATAATACTATTAGCAATAATATTAGTGCTAATATAAACAAGTAATATTTCATTTTGAATATGGACATTGATTTCAGTTATAATGACTGTCATCTGTCACCATTAAAGTGCATAATACTAACGTAATTTACTTCAGATTATCAGTATTTGTCAATCCAATTGGTCAGCTTACAGTATATCCTACTCTGTTACTGAAATCAGAAATATAAAGGTTTATTTTCATGTGTATACGTCTTCTTTGGTGAAAAGTAGCAAAATCTTTATTTTACAAATTATACCGTTGAGATATTTGGTTTGCATACGACTCCCTATTACAGTGTAATATACTCACACATATATATATTACATTATGTATTTCATGACTACAATGATATATTTTCCACATTGTTTTTTTTTAAATTTTATTAGCTCGATCAAAGTTTACAATGTTTGCGACTTCAACTATTGTCACAACAACAATCGGAACATGCACTCATCCATGATTTAATTGAATTCGAATGTGAAGAACAATGGGTTGATGAACAAACACTACAACTGAATGAAGCATTGACAATAGATGAAACGATTTTCCAAAATCTATCTAAACAAATAATTCCAATTGACTTGATTGGATCGACTGTGGAACAAGATACTCAAATATTGGCGAATAATAATTGTAGTAATGGTAATACTAGTTTAGTTTTGGATTCAGAATGTGATCATGTGATTCATAATACAAATAGTTGTGAATTGAAAGAATGCGTTTCTGACTCAGTAAATCATGGTGATCATGAAGATGATGACGATCATAATGTTGCGGATGACCATGACTATGATATTGATGTTTCGTCTGATGAGGGAATATGTAAAGATTTAGAAGTGCGAATCACTTTTGCAAAAGTAGGTTAATTTGGTTTTGATAATGTTTATGTGTTTCAGTTGATATTTTGATTATTTGGCTGTTATTCTATGGATCTTAATGTATAATAATTACTTGATTAGAAGTCGTCGAAAAACGTATTATATGGCTTCTTGATTGTGACCATATTGTATCAGACTGTGGAAACGATTCCACGATTTTTAATGAGAAATAATGACTGGTAAGTACTAAATATGTTCCACGTAAGACAGTCATCATTGACGACATCAAATTATTGTCGACTTACATCAGGAACTGAATGAAGTAAGGAACGTAGACGAAATGGATTTAGACAAAAGTGGTTAGCTCATTGAAAAGCATGAATGTCATGGTTTCAAACTCTTTTAGAACTTTAGGTAAGCTTTGTTATTCTCCAATAAGTAAGCTGCTTACTTGGCAAAAATCAGAATAATTTTGTGTAATTTGATAATATCAATGGAGAAAACCTTTATTTTCAGTAAATCAAGGTTAACTAGGTAAAGATTAATTTATATATTTAGCTGGCTAAATAAATTAATCGATTTATTAGGAGAATAACCAAAGTTTGTTCTTTTACCAGAAATGTTTAAACAAATGAGATATCGCCTATGTGAAGACGTTAATAATATCTAACCTTTCTTCGATTTAGGTCAGTTTCTTATCAATTCTTAGCACACGGAAGATTATCAGTTACCTCTAGGAACGGTCATCTTGAAAACTCTTAACGTTGACATTTTACAACATGGTCGGCGATACAAATATGACGATGTTACAGAGTTCAAAACTAACCACTTATTTCATTTTTACCTTCTTAATTAATGTCTGTAAGACATTTCCCAGAGCTTGCTACCATCTATCTTTGAAAATAATATTAAAAGCTTTATTTAAAGGGATATTAGGATTATACAGCTTCGTTAATATTTTATCGAGCATTTAACAAGTAATTATTCAAAACATCTTTCCTACCAACATTTGGTTATAATAACTTTAAATTATTCTAATGATAACAATCTATAAAGAAGAAACTTTATACGAAATTGAACAATTGACCAGCCAAGTATTTTCGTAAAATAGAGAATCAGACAGCATTAATTTCATTATTGTAAACTGAACTTTTTGTTACAGTACAAAAAAAAGCAAAATATATATATAAAGATTACAAGTCAGGTATCTTATTGTATATTGTTTGTTTCTTGGAAAAACTGTAATCCATTGGAACACATGGTTGTGTAATATTATTTTGGTAAACAATTCAAATTTTGTTTTTTTTTGTGTGTTCTTAAATAGCCTATAGGCGAGTGTGTGTGTTGACGATCTGTATAACGAATACATCGACAATTTACAACAATGTATTCTATTCATATTTTAACCTTACTAAAAGGGTATATCGATTTCAAATCCCACTACTTCGGTGTACTATTTGTTTTAAGAATATAAGGTGATTTAAACAATTTTAACCTTTAAGATTAATCAAAGCAAATATCTTACTGTATTGGATCTTAAGTCAACGAAACTACTGTTCTATGTTCAGGTCATTGTAATCAGACTAGTCACTAAGATTTGTTGGTATGAATAGTGGTTTAAAAATTAGAAAGCCGCGTATTATATTTTATATAAGTTCAGTGAAGCCTGTATACGCGAATAGTCATTTCTCATTGCCTAATATCTGTAACTGAGATGGTGGAAAAGATTCGTAGATCAGGTGGATGATTTTGGTGGAGTTCTGTTCACTGGGCTGGATGATTTGGTCGTGGAGCCTTGATCGTTCTTCAGAACAACATCATCTGCACACGTTCAGAAAAGATTATTATTTTTATGATTACTATTCCTATAAGGCGTTTATGTAAACTTTTGAATTTGTTATTTTACATTAAATATTGGTTTGAGTCAAGCAACCATTGAAAACCAAGAAATACTGGATAGTTGTTTCGTCTTAAGTTCGTTTATATGCTATGGTGAGGTGTCTCACACCAGGACGAAACAGTTATCTAGTGTTTTCTCAGTTTCCAGTGGTTTTCTAATTATAGTGTCAGTTCGTGATATAAACTATAAAAGAGCTTTATATTTTGTATACTATGAACTTTAATACTGATTCTTTTTCTTCATTATTAATCATTATCTTTTGTACAGGAAAACTTTGAAGCCATAAAAAATAGAGAACAGAAAATCTGTGATTGTATGAATGCTTATCGAAACCTTTGTGAAATTATTACTGATAATGGAAACAGTAGTATAAATAATCTCACTTCTATTGATGTTACTGCACAATATTCACCAAGAAAGGAAATGGTCAATGAAAATTATAATAATGATTATTCCTACTCACCTTTTACTACCGTTGCTGATCAGGATAATTGTGATAGAGCAAACAGATTGAAAACTTCTTATTACAATCTATTGAATCGATCTAGTCAACGAATTAAACAATTGGAATGCTATCATAAAAAATTACTTGAGGTATATATATATATATATATATATATATATATATAAATTTTAGTTGTATGTAATATTTGCTTAATCTATTTTTGTTCGTCAATATTCTTACCAAATCTGTTGCTTTTCGACTAATTCACAACCTCATGAACCCCAACTATACCTGTTAATTACTGTTTTGGCAATAATGAGATGTCATCATTACGTGTGCCTCATGCATCACACCCTTCACTCGATTAATATATTTCCTAATGAGTATATAGATACAAATATTTACTCAATGCAATTAATCCCATTGTATTCCTTAATATAGTTGGTTGTGTAAATTTTAGAGTTAATAATGGCAATACTTATTAATAAGAATATCATCTAAAATAAAAAAAGATGAGTGTATAATTCAAAATAACATTATATCATAGCAGAGAGTACAAATCGGAACGAAATAGAAAGGATTATTCATTGTAATGTGTACTTATAAGTTAGGACTACGAATGAAATGTGACCCTAATTTGAACCATAGTAAACAAAAAGCTATCTCATTTTGTTCATAAAGGTAGGGTTTCTTGAAGTTGATGCCAGCCGTATAATCATAAACCTTTGGGTAAATTATTGAGACCTTTATATGTATAACTGAAAAAAGCATCTTCAATCTCAATATATTATATCCGTTGTCAATTCGACAACTCCGCCTGGATAATGAAGGACTCTGTAGACGCCCAACTTCGAGACCAACAGGCTGAATTCCGTAAGGATCGATCGTGTAGAGACCGAATCGCGACACTACGGATTATTGTGAAACAATCAATGGAATATAATTCATCACTTTACATCAACTTCATTGACTATGAGAAAGCATTTGACAGAGTGGACAGGACAACACTACGAAAGCTACCATCGAGAAGATGCAAGTGTTCATTAACAGTTGTCTACGCAAAATACTTCGGATCCGTTGGCCAGACACTATTAGCAACAACGTACTGTGGGAGAGAAAAAACCAGATCCCAGCAGAGGAAGAAATCAGGAAAAAGCGCTGGAAGTGGATAGGACACACATTGAGGAAAGCACCTAACTGCGTCACAAGGCAAGCCCTCACGTGGAATCCTCAAGGTCAAAGAGAAAAGGAAGACGAAAGAACACATGACGCCAAGAAATGGAAACCGACATGAGAAGAATGAACAGCAATTGAACAGAACTAGAAATGAAGGCCCAGGACAGAGTGGGTTGGAGAATGCTGGTCGGCGGCCCGTGCTCCATTGGGAATAACAGGTTCAATTAAGTATGTAAGTCGTTAATTTGATGGAAAAGAATAACATTACTTATAGACTCAGTAACACCTTTACCTAGCCGTACTACGCAGTTGTTCATTTTCGTTTTCATAAATTAACTTATATGAAAGATATTTAAGCAATTAATATTTATATTAGTAATTGGTGTCCGCCAGTTGAAGCGAATCACTAAAATTAAGGTCATAAAATATAGTTTTGTTTCAGTTTCTCAACTCATCGATATTGTCCAACATCCAATTCCTATAACACACAGTTGTCAGAAACTAGGATCTTAAGTATTATATAGGACGCGATATCGTTGTGTTAGTCGTTTTGAATGAAATACTTGCAAAATCTTTCAAAATAAAATAATTGAGTAATTATATTGTTTATTTATTTAAACAAAATATTTGTACAAAAGGACACACAACTTCCTTTCATACAATAGCCCCACGTCATCCTTTGACCACCTCTCTATGTCTTCTAACCAGGTGGGACTACATTCGTAGTACAAGTTCAGGTCATCGAATTCGGTGACACTAATTAACATCACTGTGACCGAACATGTTTCGAAACTTCCGCATTACTAACATGGTCTTGCGATAGAATGTCACCAATCCTCCGGAAACAACAATGACCAAACACAAAGGGTTGTCCAACACCTTCAATTTGGAGGGACTATTTTTCGTCAGCATAGATTACAACTACTTTCATTAATACGTTGTAAAGCCCAGATTAGCATAAACTACCCTGTCTGTCCCTATACGTACATTAATCTCATCACTCACGGAACTACGCAGATGCACGAACTTTTAGGCTACTTCTGATAGTTCACCATTAAGAGCGAATGAAGAAGTAGGTTCCTATCAGTCTTTTAAAAATACTTTGCATTTAGAAGGTTCAAAGTACATGCCATATTCACGGACGCTGATTGCTAACTGATTAAATGCGGATTGCATGGCTTGAGTATCATGGACAATAAGACAGTCTCATCCACATACTCAAATTTAGAAAGTCTTTTTCCAGGTATCGGATCTAGACCATCATTACCTACATCGATCAGAGTTGTTTACGAAACGTCTCGATGGCAAGGTTGAAAATGAATAGTGAGATTGGGTAACCCTGCCTAACTCCACTGCTTGAGTGAAACAGTGGGGAGAGGTAGTTGTATGCCCTTACTCTGCCTGAGGTATTTGTATGTAGAACCTTCAAGATATTAGTAAACTTTTCAGACGCCCTTCTTCAGTAGAAAATCTCGATATCTACAGTCCTGTCCAACAAATCAAAGGAGGCCCTGATGTCATGAATCACAATGATCGTTGACCTGCAATAAGTATGGCTATGTTGCAACATTTGACAGAGGGTGAAGATACGATCAATACATCCTTGACAAGAACAAAAACCGGCCTGCTACTAGCGAGTCAATTATTCAAACCAACTAGAACATCATATCGACCTAGGAGATTAACACTCTAAAAACTAATACGAATGAACAACAGCATGGAAAAGAGAAATCCTCAATCAATTTTTTAAACATAGAGTATGGTTAAGCGTAAGATGTAACTTGTGCTTGCCACTTTTCTATCTGTGTAGCCTTCCGATATTATGCTTAGAATAATTAATTATCATATGTATAATTATTTTTAAAACACCAATGTTTCTTTAATTACATAGTCCCTGATTTCAGTCATTTTTGCCTTCCTTACAACTTTTGCAGCACAATCTTTTAGTTCATTTCAACTTCGATCTGTGGAAGCAGGGGTACTTACAGTGGATTGCAAATCGTCATTATCGACTAAGCGACATATTTAACCCCAAAGCCTTATCGGCATTACGAACTGACAGACAGCTATCAAACATATCCACCAATACAGATGAAGTGAATTCTGATTTATTCAAACGTCCAACACGATTATCTAATGTATCTTCGATTTCTCAGTCAGTTTATACTTCGTCTAATAGTATCAAACCTCAATTATCTAACAGTCGTTCATCTCTCATCCGATCGAGCATCGAATCATTACAACCGCTCTCTGATAACAAACATAAACAAAATGTCAGCCATAAGCCAGATGAAGTAAACTGTTCACAATTTATACAAGCAGTTCTACATGGTAGACCAACACATGATTGGGCAAATCCTATTTTCATCAAGTCTGCATTTTATACAATTGACCAAGCAAAAAAGGGCATAATTACATGTCATCAGATTATTGAAGCATTAAGTCCGAAAAAACAGGTAATTATATATAGTTTTTTATTTCTTCGGTTTAAAAGAAGCAATTCAAATTATTCGTGTTTTTATATCAAAATTATGACTCATAAATGTATGAAACGAACTATTCAATTGAATGCTCAATATAGATGGTTAGTTCAACAATTAGGAACTAGATGTAATCAATCATTCACAAAAATAACTCTTCAAAGGACACATAAATGTTAAGAAAAATAAAGTATAGATCGTTACAAGAGACTTTGTATTATTTTAGGGATAGACTATATTTTAACGACAGAATATAGTACACAATGGTAAGTGTAAATGGCCATAATACAATAGTAAACAATTCAATACACTCATAAAAGAATAACAACAGTAAATTAGTTACTATTCTTGTTGTAACGGGTGGATTGCAGGTTAAATGGAGCAGCGTATTTATCGATCGATAACGTCCGAGGATATCATTAGACTTAACATGATAATGACTGGCACATTATTCCTCAGCATCCATAACAATTCTTAATGTTTCATCTAGTGAAATAAGTTTTTCATCATAAGTGCTCTTACTCAAAATAGTTTGCTTTAAACATTTCGTACATATATACCTTGTAAAATTGTATATCAATATGATTTTGGTTACATATTTATGATACATCTTTATTGTGGTTTCATTAACACATACGTTTGTCAGATTTGTTTATAAAGACAAACAGTATTCTATAAAATGCTGATAAACTTTGTAAAATAAATCCTATTCTGTTATATTGCATAATCAATAATTGTTCCTTTGATGTTCCCATTTTTAACCAACCTACAATTTGCAAATAGTTTTAACATATTCAGTGAAATACTTTGATGAAAGTAAAAGTTTTTCAGATCTACTAAATGGATAAACTGGTATTTCTTGAGTAACTTTATACTACATTTGAAAATGTGATTGAAGACATGCACAGCATTCATTAATTAATCAATTTAAGTAAAACATTCACCTGATCTCCCAAGACCAACTAGCTAAAAATGCTTTTCGTTCTTTAATGCTTAATATTCTAAATATAAACGGTTTCCGTTCAAATTTTGTCTAGGATGTAATCAAATTTATCTTTATTATTGAAATCTAATTGGATATTCATTATCAACTGTATTAGTAGTTAATATTATCTTTTTATTCTCATTTGTTTCACAATTACTTACTTACGCCTGTTACTCCTCGTGAAGGAACATAGGTCGCTCACCAGCATTCGCCATCCAACCCTGTCCTGGGCAAACTTGTTTCACAATGTATCTATATAAATATGAGACACAAATACTTCATAGTCATCTGTCTAGTATGTATACAATCAAGAGTTGATACAATGTTGTCAACTCTAAAACTAGTCTAAAAACAATCACTCGGTATTGTTTGTTAGATGTTTAGGACTGCAATTGATCAGTCTCTTATTGGTATATGTGCATACTGTGCATATTGCCTCGATATAGCCTAAATTCAAACAAACAATACCAAGTGAATTTAAACTTCACCCCATCCCATAAGCAAGTGGCTATCAGGATTCAGGGGGTAAGTGGATGACGCGATGGCGTTTGAAGCAAACGGTGGATATGCACTTCTGAGGAGTCCCACAATAGGACGAGACGGCCATCCAGTGCTTCCAAGTTTTCCATGGTGGTCTAGCTTCAACTGACCTATGATCTCAACTATTAAAATTGTATAACACTCTTCTATTTTATCATAAACTACTAGATGTAAAAAATTACCTATTAATGCAATTATACATCATAGGAAAATAGTATCGTTGAAAAGGAACTTTTCTTCGCTGAAAAGTTATCTTTGTTTTTTTCTTAATGAATCAATGGATTTCTTTGTTTATTCTAAAGTCATTGTCTATAAATAAGGAATAATTGTTACATAAGCCGCACAAAGCGATCAATTTCCAAACGCAACTCAGAACACTATCCGGCTTGGCTTTTATAAGGTGAATGTAAAACAATTACTAGTTCTATACATGAGCATTTAATAAATTGTGGACACATCGCTTGGTGTTGTTTTACTTTTATCTTCCCATTGTTATTTAGGACTGAAATTGATGCACTTATGCCAACATGAGACTGATCAATTGCAGTCCTAAATAACAATGGGAATATACAAGTAAAACAACACAAAGTGAATATAACTTCACCTCATTCCACAAGCAGGTCGCTATCAGGACTCAGTAGCTAAGTGAATAACTCGATGGTATTTGAAGCGAACGGTACTGGGTTCGAGTCCTGAAGTGAACACTAACTGTGAGATGCAGGTGCATCCAGATGACGTGTCCCAAATAGGGCTAAACTCGTGTCAAACTGCATTCCACTGCTAGCCACTATCCATCTTTACGTAATCTAAAAACAATTTAATTGAAAAGACAGAGTATCCGTTAATCACTGTTCTAGAATAAATCTTTTTAATATATTTTTCAAAACTTACAATCTATTTATTGATACAGAAAGAAGTAGTTGTTTTTTTATCGAATTCAAATTACATTTTTCAGCATAAACCTCTACCAACTGATAAATTAATTGAACATGCAATAGAACAAGAAACTAGTAAATGTGTTTGTCAACCAAAATTTCAACCGAGAAAAATTGGAAAGGATCGATATTGTGTAAGTTAAGTTAATTTAATTCTGTTATACTCTTGCCTACAACACCAATGACACGTGTTCATTAGTTTATTTTCGTAAATGTGATCTATAAAATAGGTTACGAAAATACTGATGCTTCGTAAAACTCTCAGTAGGATTGTGAATACACACTGATGAACAGATGAATACCTAGACCAAAGATCTATTTATTACTTCTTGGTTTGTGATAGTTTTTTTTTAACTAAGTGTAGTTTATAAAGTAAAACTAACAAGTTCAGTACGCTCTATACTAAATAAAAAGGCATACCCTTTAATTTATTTCTACTTTATTTTATTTAACATATGTGTTCCATGTAACTGTTTTCGGTGTGAAAAAGCAAGACGTAATTTGCTTATATAGTTTTTTTGGCTTGTTTTAAAGTTTGGATCCAGTTCACGAGTTTACTTGGTTCGCTTCTTGAATAGTACAACGATTGTGCGAGTAGGAGGTGGATGGATGAGTTTAAATGAATTCTTGGATTCACGTGATCCATGCAGAAGTAAGCTACTAGTTTGGTGATTCTGTATATTTTATCAAGTATTACCTACTCCCTCACTCAGTATAATGGGTATTCATGTGCATATGAAATTACAGAGTTTGTGATTGAAAATGATGAAAAACAACTGGATCATGACAGGACTCGATTTATAACTTTTGAGCTACCAGTATCATTGAATTTTGACAATTGACGATCAGCTAGATTACAATTTTTCTCTAATCAAATACTATTTTAATAGTTGAACTCTTGAGTCGATCTAAGCTAGACCACCATTGCAAACCTAGTGAGAGACTCCTCAGCAGTGCGCATTCACGATCCCGCATGCGTGACTCGAACCCAGGACCTTCAGCCTCGCGCACGAACGCTTAGACTGTAGACCACTGAGCTGGCATCCAGCAGTATCCAGAGATGTCCCATACTAGGACAAAACCGCCGTTCAGTGCTTCCAGGTTCTCAGTGGTGGTCTAACATTGGTTGATTGATGATCTCAATAAAAAATCTAACGATTTTCATAACCTTCGCACTGATGTTTGATTATGGTACCATAGAAATGAATTCAATCATCATTTTGAGATTAGACAGTTTTCAATAAAATTAGGTTAAACAATATATTTGAATTGAAATAGTAAATTATACTACACTTTCCTAATACACAGGATCGTGGATGAACACTGCTGATGAGTCTCACACTAGGACGAAACAACTGTCCAGTGCTTCCACGTTTTGAATGGTGCTCTAGCTCATATTGACTCATAAATTCAACTTCTAAAATTACTACAATCTCCACAAACCCCCATTCTCACATACTACTTTATTAGGTTCTTATGCTCTTGAAATGAATGCAGTCAGTTGCAATTCACCATTTAATTCGCTTTATCAATTGTTCTTAGACCATTTCAATACTTACAGAGTTAGGTAGAGAGTGCTATTCAGAACACTTTGGTTGACGAGGAAAAAATTCCAATGTTTTCTAATTTGATGTTTAAGTTTTGTAGTCTATCAATTAATAATGCATTGTTAAACCGCTCCAGTGCTATAGTATGCTTTCATTAATCATTTGTAATGAGCATTTTTAGTCAACTATGCTATCACATCACTTTCTCAGGTACATGTTTATTGATACATGAAGAAAATCATTCACAGGTTATATTGTCTAATTCATCTTTATTGTTCATAAAAGAAAGTAATAACGAAGTGGTTGCAATTATGTTAATTACATAAATAAATTATTTTGATTCATTGTTGAAATTTAAAGAGTAGTGCTTTATACGTAGATACTATTCAAAAACACATGTTTCCTTTCTCTACACGTTTCCTTTTGTTGTTTTGGAATGATGAACTAAATTTGTATCTCGGATGAGTACTTTTAACACTGTTAAATTACCCTGAGATACTCGGTTTATTTGTAAAGCTTTCATCAAAATCTTTACTTTTATTTCAATTTAACTCTGATGATTTTTATCCAGAACAACAACAGAAGCTTTGCAGTTCAATGAAATTAACACAACTAGACGTGCTTTTTCTGTATTTTAAGAAATCTCCTTGTAATTGATTATATCCAATAACCTAATATTTCAACATACAGTGTATTTGATGTTGAGTCACTTAGATTAGTGGTAACATTGTAACCTGATTATTTATTTAAACACATACATTAATACAGAGGAACACCAAAATATACATGTGCCATACAAGTTTTCATTTAATTTGTGTGTGAAATTGGATACTGTCCTGGTACCCAGACCTAAACAGGTGATTTTCTTAGGTGGCCGCTCGCCGAGCCTTTGGCCTAATGGTCAGATCCACAAGGCAGTGGATCAACATTAAGAAGTGCGGTCTTATGGTAATTGGTGACCAAGACTACGTTTGTGCTCTATTTTTCCCTCGGGATCCTGGAGCCCATGTGCACCATTGGTTTGAAACCAGGGTTTTTCAACTTCCTTAGATCGATGCTTCGTATCCACAAACCCGGTTTAACCGTCGCGTATTCACTTTTGCTCCTCTCAGTTTCGTAAACACCACCCTTGTTGCAAAAAGGCAGTGAGTAGAGCTCCCCTAGGATTAGCTATATGCGCGTGGCCATATAATAGCATCTCGAAAGGGTGACGGGATTTTTCCCACTCTCGGCTATATCAAGGCATTTGGAAGTAAACTAGTCGATAGAACTTGGCCAGCATTAAAGGAATAAATAGACATCTCACTGGTCATTATTCAGTGAACGATCAAATGTAAATTGTACTTCCAAATATCGACTGTTTCATTATTGCCTACTAATGGCGGTAGGGGTTTGGACGTAATAGGATGGCACACTATTTAAAGTTTATAAATCTATGTATTGGAGATGTTTTTGCAGGAGAAAAATATACACAACTGTATGCTGTATAAACTACATACATTTTTAAACAAAGTATATTTGGCATAGCATAAATTAAACTGACAAAAAAATATTCGTTATGTGTAGTACAATATGAATCATAATGGATTGAGTCATAAACTTAAAATAAACAATACTTATTCATTGTTTATGCATGTTATATGCCAATAATAATAATAATAATAATAATAGTCTAATTTAAACATTTTCTCATTTATTCTATTCGGGTAAACTAGATGTAGACAAAATTATAAGCTTCAATCTGTAATGTCTTATAATTGATAAATCAATGCATATCTATCCTTTCCACCTTCCTGATCGTTGGGTTATTTTGTGAATTGACTAACGTAAATAATGTGAATCGTTGATTGTCACCTTACTAATCTAATAGTAAGTCTCTCTCTGTGTATGTGTGTGATACCCAAAGGTCCTTCATTCAATCTCTGGTGTTGGATTGTGGGTATGTGCTATTGATTAGTCCCATACTATTACTAAATAACAATCTAATGATTCTTGGAGACAAATGATTGTCTAACTAAAATCCAAACCTCAAAAGGTAGGATTATTTTATGTTTTTGTAAACAAGATTGTTAGTTTTGACCATATTGCGAATTTTACAGTATTTCACAGGTGTCCATTAGTGAATTCTCTTTTTCGTAGCCAATTTTTATTAGAGTAGTTCAGCTGAATACCTGAAAATATTGTAAGAATATTTTAAAAGGAATGTAGTTACACAAGTATTATAACACTAAACCTGGCTAAACTCCTACAGTTTAATCATCTCTTCTGAAAAATCCTGAAATGTTTTTAATGGCCCGAGATCTGACTCCAGTAATTGAGATATACAATGTCGTCAATCCTCATATATTATTATCGACTTAATCCGCGGAATTAAAATAAGTCAAATACAAGGAAGAATTTCGAAAACGCATATTTTGTATAATCATTGATCTGAACAGACATTCAGGAGGATGAAGTGAATAGAAGAGAGCGAAGTGAAATGTCACGCAATGGCGAAAGCATGTGAGCCAACTTCAATTAATCAAGCGTTAGTCAATATTTATAGCCAGATAAAAATAAGCTACAGACATGTGATGAGTAGGATAAGAAGTGTACACACACATACGCTCATATAAGAACAGTCAGCGTTGATTAGTGAATAAGTAACAAGGTCAAGACGTGACTCAAGAAGGATGAATAAACTGACCTGTCCATAAGTTAGAATCAATTATTTGGGCTTAACATAGTGACTGACATTACATGTTCACTGGCAATTTTCGTATGATTATTATCTTCCCAAACTTAAATCACTCAATAAGTGTTTTATCGAATCTTTTTTGATTATTCAATCAAATAAAATAAGGATTTATATCATGTAAACTTTTCATGTTATAATGATGATAACTTTAGTTAAATTAATTAAAATGTGAATAATGTAATTTTTTATATTATAGTTACCCATAAAACAAGTCATTTTGGTAGTACATCTATAAAGGCTAATCTGATGAATACAAATTCCACATCAAAACGTGAAAGTAATTTAGGATTAATTAATGTAACTCCAATTAATAAATCACGTCTTACTACACTAAACAATATGAACTCGAAAGAACAAAGATCATTTGTATCAACTCCTTTAACAAGCAAGGACTGTGACATGAAATCACTGAATTCATCATATGAGAATGAAGCATCAATCCATAACAATTCTTCATTACTAAAACAAACTGTTCCAAGTAAGTATTCTATATGAGGATTAATATATCTGATATGTGGATGGCTGATACTGACTTGTTAACTGCCTGATCCTTCATAAATTTATTACACTTTAACCTTGAACAGGAAATTTTGTAATCATTCTAAAATTAGTAACCAAATTTGTAGTCGTCTAATCCGTATATTACTTATAATCCATCATTGCTCTGGGAAGTTTCTATTTTACATCAATTGTTCAAAGTATTTTCCTTCATTTCTAGCTCCTGAAGACATTTCTGAGGAAATCCTCAAGGCACCCAACATATATATATATATATAGACCGGTTGAGTACCAGTAGCTACACAATGATAATAATAATAATGATATATTTGGAAAATGAGTACAGAATACACGTCAGTTTTCAGGGATGATCAAATCGATAGATATTAACAATGATAAAGGAAAGTGTTCGCTTTCCTAAAACACTCGGTTTCTAGATTTCCTTAAATTGAGCAGTTCGGACGAAGTTGTTAGTCATAGGAGATATGAAATGTGTGCAGGATGTGTGAAAGTAAATGATATAATTTTACAGTACAACATTATCGATTATATATACAACACAACAGATATAATTTTAACAAGCGTAGAGTCATCATTCATAAACAAAATGTAACCTTATGATAGTATAAACAGAAATGTCGAAATCGTGACATTATTACATTATTAATTGCGTTTCGGCATGGTAGACTAAACCTTCACTATAGAAGGTACATGAAGCAGTCTAAGAACTAAAACGTTCAAGCCGTTTATTTGAATCATTTCATTAGAACAGTTTTTGTTGTCTGAGACTGTAATGGGTTGACAGATTGTAGAATAGGCTCAGTTTCTTGAGGAGAATTCAGTGTAATAATGTAGTACCAACGTACTTTATAGAACCCAATAAGGCTACTGTCAAAAACCGAATGGTTTTTTCAACTCTGACGGACAATGTTAAGCTGTCATATTCACTTGAAATCAAAAGATAGTTTAACTTTCCAGAGTAGGAGACAGTATTTTCTCAGAACGAAGACTGTGGTCTCAATGTTACTAAAAGATAAAGTTTATCTCTTACTTATTTCAGAGTTGAACTTTGTCATAAGTTCACTGCAGATTCAAAGACTCATCTCGTGTACTTTTTCCTACCAATTTTATGATAGTTCACTTGCTTTGATAAGCTTATCGGAAATCACTTCAATGACTGGACTGATAATTTACTCGAGAAACTAGTCATCTTCGTATACTTATGTAACATATTCATTAAATTTTTCAGTAATTATAAATGTCGAGCTGAAATGTCAACAAATAGCCAGTAAAGTTTTAATGCTCTTTTACATTTCTCGTCACTTATCTTAAACTTTAACTTTATAAGCAAAAATGGATAGTGGCTAGCAGTGGAATCCAGTTCGACACGAGTTTCGCCCTATCTGGGACTCGTCATCTAGATGTGCCTGCATCTCACAGTTGATGTTCACTTCAGGACTCGAACCCAGTACCGTTCGCTTCAAATACCATCGAGTTATCCACTTAGCTACTGAGTCCTGATAGCCACTTGCTTGTGCAATGAGGTGAAGTTATATTCACTTGGTGTTGTTTTACTTGTATATTCCCATTGTTATTTAGGACTGCAATTAATCGGTCTCTTTTTGACATATGTGCATCCTGTTCAGACTGCCACGATATCACCTGATGTTACAAGCTTTATAAGAAAAGATGGATAGTGTTTAGCAGCGGAATCCAGGACGAGCGTTTCGTCCTAAATAACAACACCAAATGAATTAAACCTCAACTGTTTTGATTCATTCATACATTAAATTCTACGACTCAATTATCACTTCATAATCAATACAGTAGAGTTGGTATGAATCTGCGTTTGGTTATCTTTAATACTAAATATATTTGTGATCTCCCTGCTAGTTAATATTGAATCATTTAGAATTACATATTTTTAAAGTACTGTGTTTTTTTTTCTATATTTCTTTAACAAAGCGAAAACTACCATCTTCAACAGGGCTACCACTACACGGACAAGTACTAATAAGAAGATAAACAAATGATCATCTGTCAATTGAATTCGAACTTACTAATCCATCCCTGTGAACAAACAATTTTTTTTGTTTTGCATTTTTTTTAAAATTTTCATGAATAGATTACATAACATCTTTATTGCTTAATTATTATTCAGCATTCTGTTTTGTTTGTTTGTTGTTTTTTTTTGCTAATTTTTGCATAAACAATTTTATCATAGTTCTTCATGTTTACCCCGGTTTGTTTATATCAATTATTCTAATCTAATAAGCTAAGATCATTGTGCTTTTTTTTTAGAATTTTTAATCGTTTTGATGTTCCTTCTCATGATTTGATGTTTTGAAAGTTTTGAATGGTTAAAAATTCGTTACTTTGCAACTTGCTAGCAAACTATGAACGGTTCAACAGTTTGAGAAAATTATTATCACAAGTGTTCACATTCGTTTCTCTTGTTCTTTTATTTTTAAAAAAAATGTTTTCCATATTATTCCATTAAGGTTTATTTTGTAAAATGCAGGTAAGTGAGATTTTCTCAGATTCAATTAAATACTGTTGTGTTTATGACTAAATTAGTTTCTAAAAAATAGTTAACTAATTTTTCCAATTTATTTTTGTTTTGTTAAATTTATCGCTTCAGAATAAAATTTGCTTTAGTGTTTATTGTTGTTTTCTTATCGAATTCAATCTTCCAATAGTGTGAATTTCTTTTACCATATAAACGTAGATAAATTCTAATAGTTGAAATCATGAGACAATTGAAGCTAGACCACCATGAAAAACCTGGAAGCATTGGATGATCATAGTGGTCTAATGGTTAGGCGCTCGCGCGCGCGAGACTGATAGGTCCTGGGCTCGAATCTCACCGGGGGCAGGATTGTGGATGCACAGTGTTGAGGTGTCCCATAATATGACGAAGTGGCCATCCAGTGCTTCCAAGTTTTCCATGATGATCTAGCTTCACTTGACTCATGATTTCAACTATTGAAATCACTAAAGTCTCCACAAAACCCCTTCTGGTATATAAATTCTGTTTGTTTGTTTTTTGTTGCAGAAAACACATTATTTCGTGTGAAATAATCCCTGTTAAAGTTAAGCATCACTTATATGATATTGCCACTGACTGATTCCAACATTTTAGAACTAACAACAATCATATACAGTTCACTTATTTTATTTATTTAAACACATAAACATTAGTACAAGGAGGTACCAAATAGATATCTGCTGCATAAATCATTCAGTTTTTGTGCTTAAACCGAAGCAGGTGGTTTTCTTAGAAGGGCAACACCCGAAGTCTTCGACATAAAGGTCTAATCCAGAAGGCAGTGGAGCAACGTCAGGAGATTCAGTCTCATGGTAGCCCTTGAACAACGATTGGTTCATACGCCATTTGTTGCCTCAGAATTCTGGAGGCCATGTGCACGATTGGTTTGGAATCAGGGTTTTCCAAATCTCCTAGGTGGATCCTCCGTATTCACTACCAACTCGAGTCAAGCGCCAGACATTCGCTTTTCGTCCTCCCAATTTCATAAACAACAGTAATGCTGTGAGAAGGCAGTGAATAGGACTTCCCTGGCAGTAGTTGTATGCGCGTGACCATGTGAGAGCATTTCGAGAGGGAGAACCGACTCTTTCCACTCTCGGTCGTACCAGGGCATTTGGGGGCGATCATACACAAATTATTGTCGAGTATATTTAACTAGATGAGGTTCTGTTTCGTAAACATAAAATAGGGTTCTTTGCAATGGTGTATTATATAGCTGGATTTACAGCTGAAAAACCGTACTAGATTGATATGATTTACGATGTTACCTAATTTAACAATAACTATATTTTCGACTGAGATCATTAACCGATTGATGTTAGACCACCATTGAGAACGTGGTAGCACTGGACGACCGTTTCGATTCCTGTGAGCGGAATCATGGATGCACACTGCTGTGGAGCCTCACAATAGGACGAAACGGCCATCCAGTACTTCCAGGTTATCAATGGTCTGACATCAATCGGTTCATGATCTCAATCAAAAACCTAATAATCTCTACAACCCTATACTGATAATTATATTTCCAACAGAATGACAATAAATTTAGGTATAAACAATGACTATTTAATAAGTCAATTTAAAATAAGAACCAAATCACATTGAATTAGATAATGTTAGTAAAGAATATATTAAACATTCAATGGTTACATTTCTTACACGTTTCTAAATTTTGAATGTTGAACGTTGTTATCCTAGAAAGCACTACCCGAAAAAACGGTATCACTGTAATGAAATGACTGATTTAATATTCTGGTTAAATTATATCAAATTAACTGTTTATGATTAAATATTGTAAGTGATAATAAATTGTAGTTGGATACAATTGAATTTTAGAATAGTTTATATCATCAAATCATTTTACTGAAGATTGATAAAGTAAAACAAACTACTATGTATATAGAAATGTATTTTTTATTATTATCCATAAATATGATATTTTGAAGAAATAAATCTAATCTGTAATCAACTGGGTTTTTTTTCACTCCTCACCAAAGAAACTCATCAATTTGCATGAACCTTTTATACATGCACCTCGACAACAATCATTTGCATGAATACATGGACTATTAGCTTGTGCACATTGAACACATTTGCCAGTGGCAGAACTTTTACGATTACATACCCAATCTCTTCCACAGCATGGACGAAATACTGTACATACTGTTTCAGGTTCTGAACAAAATGATAAAATTCCACCTGTTAAATAAGAGAAAAAAAAGTGATTGTATATACAGGAAAAAAGTGCCATAAAATATCTTTTAACACATATGTAATAAAACTAAGCTACGATTTAAATTTTGGTTAATACCATTAATAGAAGAAATACATAGCAGAAACGTTTATGATTATATCATACATTAAAAAGTCAACTTGACTTTACTCCTAGTGTAATGAACAAGAACACGAGTGGGGATCAACCGAAATTACAAAATATCTCACCAAAATCTGAGAACCATATAGTATCTCGAACTTGACTGTTCCTTTTGAAAATCTCAATCCATTGTCTTAGTTTTCACTGTTTGTGCATTTTCATATCGACTGCTTTCCATTCCCGTTGTTTCCTTATCGATCTTCTACTGGAATACATTCTATTCCTGACTATCGCTATATTCTACTTATGTGGATATAAGTAGCTGACACCACACCAGTAGCGTTTAGGTTAAACACATTTTTGAATTCTTTCAAGATGAGATTTGAAATTTCCCTTTACTTTTAAGGCAATATTTTTTTAAAAAAATCAGTAGAACTTTTAAACCGTATGATTTATTATTGTAATTCATATTGGTGACACAATATTCATGGTAAACCAGTTGTTAGCGTGGGTGGAGACCTATGATGAGTAAGTTGACGATTTATCTGATTAGTGTCCGCCTACATGTTTACTGTCTGACTACCTATCAGTGCACATTAGTAATAAGTACTATGTATTCACTAAATATAACCTCTCAAGCAAGAACTTGTTCTATACAACTGTTTATTAATTATTAGCAGTCAGTAGAGCAGTAAGTGCATCAGGCTACAAGTTCAAAATTATTTAAGGAATCAGTGTGTTGTGAGAATTTCCAATCTAAGCTGCGATAAGATCACTTGACTTTATAGGATAACTAATTTTACTATAGACCCTGGGTAGTTGCAATCTACCTAGTTAGGTTAACTGACTATATACCATACGTTATTGTATTAGGCAAGCCGAAGGAAATATGGAAGTTACATTTTTCAATGATTGTATAAAAGTCTGTAATACCTAAATCAATACTGGGATATGCTTCAGAACAACTATAACTATCCAAATCCCAAATTCCTATAATGTCACATAAAAAATAGTAAATATCCACAAAATCCTCTTCCAGGAATCCTAATAAATGGTTAAACTATATTTTAGGACTGCGGCTAACACTAGGATCTAATTACTGCGTTCTGTTCTGTTTAAGACTCTTTTGTCTCTCGTCTGCGTCCCAATGTGGACGTACAAAATGAGATCCAAACTCAGTACTCATTGCTTCAAAAAAGAACCCGTTATCCATTAACATACTGACTTAGTAGTAACTTGAAAGAACATGCTATGTTGAATCGTCTACTAAAGGGTCTCATATCCTAACAGAGATCAATTTAAGTCACTCGTCTATATTAATAAAAGAGTAGCTCAAAACATTTTACACCAAACAATACTATATTTGACTAAACAGTGGTCGATTGTGTTATGAACTAAAAGATGCCCAATTGGCAACACTATCAAAAAGCATTCACTTAAGGTACAAATTCATTGAAGCAGTTACGCTTACTTCTGTTCATAGTGCAAAGTGTCTTTTAAATATACTGTAGTTCCCTAGCATGTTTAACAATTAGATTGCATAATACTAATGTTCCTGTAGGGGGGGGGTGGAAGACAGAACAAACTTCACTAGCATATTGCATGAAAATATTAAATACCATTTAATTTCTTTTTTATTTAGAAATGGCATTAACAAATAAATTTGCGTTAATGTTTTCATTGAACGATTTTGCTAATATGACATTTTTCGAAAATAAACAATAAATTTACATGTCCATGTTCATTTCTGTAATTTCACTTTATATCAATCCAAGAGTATACAGAACTGATATGTATGAACATGAATTCTATGTGACAGTTGGTTTACGTTAAAATAAGCAAATAAAAAAATTTTTTGAAATGAACGAAACACAACTATAATATTTATTAAATGAGATTATAAATCAATCAATGATAGACCTGGAAGCACTGAACGGTCGTTCCGTTCCACTATGGGACTGCTCAACAGTGTCCGTCCACGATTCCGTAAGCAGGACTCGAACCCATGACCTTCGGTCTCGCGCGTGAATGCTTATCTTCTAGACCACTGAGCCGGTATCCAACGGTGTTATGGTATAAAGACGTCGTTTTATAGACTAGTTTTAGAGGTGTTCGGTGTTTAAAGGTAATCGACATAAAACCGTAGACATAAGTTTCGCGCTAGTTGGTAC